AATGTCAATTTAATCTCATCGTCAATCTCACTGTATCAGCTTGTATTCTCATAATGTAGTTTTGGACATAGTGATCCTGTCTTTCTTTTCCAGTTCTGCACAGCTGAAGGTAATGAAAACTGTTTGGGGAAAGGACAAAACTTCCAGTAGCTGATTATGCCAGTTGTGTCAGAAGGGTACCTTGGCCAGGAGCCTTCAGAGCAGTCACCTAGAGACTGCAGCGTGTGACAGATGACTGTTGAATGTAGGAGAACTGAAGATGCGGTTGGTTCTTCCTTGAGATAGGTGGTCTAAAACTGGTTTTAAACTTCTGCAGAAAGCTTAATGAAAAGCTCTCAACTTCCTTCTATTAGGCATGAGTTACCTTCTTACTTCCAGCATTAGAAATGATACAAGTGTGCAAGCTCTGTCTGTTTTGACACTCTTGCATGCTTTTGTTAATCATGTCTGCAATACTTTATTTTGCTTTCCAGAGTATTTCTACTTATTCTGGGTTTTGCTCTGATGTCTCTCTTCCTTCTCCATGCAGAAGGTGCTACTGCCACAATTCTAGTTTCTCTTTTCTCCTGCATCTCTACCTGTTTCTTCAATGTGTTTTAGCAGTATATTAATCTGTTGCTGTCTCAATGTTTGTCTTGTGTTCTAGATCCCTGGAGATCTTACTCTTTACTTGCCTCCTTTGGTTTGTCACCTTAAATGAACTCTCCACACCTACTTTTCTTAACCACTTAATGCCTTGTCTTTGGCAACATTTGGCCAACGGTACAGGAGAGTCTTGTGGTTATTTGTTGCTTTTCAAATGACAGCCAGTGACATTTAAAGTCATCTAAATAGCAGGCCAATATTTTTTCTGGCTTTCCTGTGTACTATCTGTTGGCTTATTTATATCAGACCTACACACTGAAACAGGATTGGTTTTCAAAATAGCACTGAAAATTCTTTGCAATTCCCATCAGTCTTCTTGTTCAGACTTGGCAGTATTTGGAGTTTTTGTTTTTGAGAAATAACTGTTAGAATTGAACTGTATGAATCTGATGTGCCTTTTCTTTAAAAGCTTCTAGTTCTCATATTAATGTTTAAACTTCTGTTTTGATTTTTGAAGTAAAATCTGACAGCTGAAGTTGGGTATTATCTGACAGCTGAAGTTCATTATTAGTCTCTTGAAATGAAGCATGTAAGGCTGTGCTTAAGTACCGTTATGTGCTGAATTTCTTCATTTCTTGTGCTTGAGTCTGATAATGTGACTGCAGTTGTGTTACACGGCAGCTGTCCTATGATGCTGATTTTAGGTTAAAGTAGCATGACTGTGGTACAGGGATAAGTTGTACTCTGCTGCTTCTGCATTTCGTAGCAGTAAACGATAACATCAGAAACCTCTTCAAGGTTCTTTGATCCAGCAATCATCTGTGCTTGGCTGAGCTTCTGAGTAACTTGTCCTTCAAAGGAGCTACTGCCCTCTTTCTTCATATTTAGGAGAGGTACCAGAAATGCAGTTTAGCTGAACTTTTGTTTTCACAACAAAAGTATAAGCTCTTACCTTGGATTTTTAAAAGGATATTTTTGTGGACTAAGATGCCAAGGTCTTTTAAACCAGTGTTCAACTTGCTGTGTTAAGTTGTAGTAAATGCAAAACTAAACAACCTATAGCTGTTGCTGTCAGACTGGCAACCAGATAAGCTGGCTTTTGGTGTCTAGTTACATGACAGAAAAGTAGCATGAGGAATAATGGGTAGCTGTTTCACTGCAACCTGATGATACAGGGCTTGAAAAGGTCTGAACACTGCTCTATTTAGCTGTGATGTCTCTAAGAAATGTAGTGCCCTTTGCTTTCATTGTCATAGCTCAGTCAGATCTCTGTTCCAATTGCTTGTAGACTTATGTGATGGCTGTTGTTGTTGTTGTAGTAGTAGAATAATGTTTTGAGATAATGTGTGTGCTGTAGCCTTACTGTACCAGTACTGTGTCAGGGACAGAATAAAATCCAGTGTTCTCTTTGGGAGAGGTGCGTTTTCTGTCCTTCTTACCACACAGAGCTGATTTGTGCCAGTAAGAGATGGAGAACAAGTATTTTTCTCTTTCAGTTGCCCTGTCAATTAGGAAGTAATGTACATAGTTTTGTGTCTGTCCTGAAAAGGCATTGTTGAAGTCCTCTGAAAAAAATAGGCCATCGGGCTGGCTGTTTGCATTATCAGCCTGAATGACTGGAAGAATTGGATTACTTACATGACGCTGAGGGAGCACTGTGCAGTGCTTGCCTTAGGAACAACTCTACATGCAAATATTACCTGCTGGCCAGCTAAAACCTGAGCTTAACTAAAGCCTTAAGATGTCTAGGAAAATCTTAGTTCAGTTGTTCACTTGATGGTTAGCCTCATGTGCTTCATAGGCATAGAAATTAGAGCCAAAGGCAGAACTCGCATCTCTGATAAATGAGGGCTGTGCACTTGCTGGGTGGCAAGGAGGCCTGGTGGGTTTTTGTAGATATGCTGGAAACAGGTTTGACTGTCTCTTTTGTGGATGCTGTGTGCAATGTGTGTGTCAGCTGTCACCCACCCATGCTAGAATCTAGTCCTTGCAGTTAAGATGGGTGAATGACCCAGCAAGCCTGTTTGACTGGAAGAGTGCTGCAGGAATGTATATATTGGATGCACTTAACTAATATGGCAACAATGGATCAAATCAGTAGGCTGCTGTGTTGAAAAGGAAAGCAAGAGCATGCTCGATATAGTAGCCAGCTATTGTCCCATTTCATTGTGTGTGTCAATACTCCTAGGGGCTGCTTGTTTATTAGCATTTCTGGAGCAATTTGTGTCATGGAATGGCACAGTTCAGAGAAGAGAAAATGGAAGCTGGGTCAGTGATTCCCTCCCCCCTTGCATTGTCTTTCCAATGAACTCAAGTGTGGCAGTGCTTTATGTGGATGGTCTGTTACTGGCCTGTCAGAAAGGTGAAGTGGTTTGGGATAATTGCTAAGTGTCATTTTATAATTGAGTTATTCAGCCAGGTGCTTTGGTGCTTTCTGTTCCAGGTTGATCAGTATTGTTCCAATTTGAACATGACTGGATGAGAAGTGTTGTTTGCACTGGTTCAAGCAGGCTGGGAATATATAACATGTTACTGTAGAAATCTTAGTTGCTGTTTTTTCCTTAAGCATGATAGCAACTTATGTTTAAAAAAAAATCCTAATTTTATTGAGCCTGGTTTATGGGGTTTTTTGGGTTTTTTTTCCTTGCTTGCTCTATAAGGTCATCTAGTTCCCTTAGGGGTTCAGATAAAAGAAATGAGAAAGATCAAAGCTGGAAAAGCTCAAAGCAGCATTGTTTCCAACACTGAACCAGGTTGGCTACAGCTCTAGTTGGTCTTGAAAATCTCCAAGGATGGAGATTGCATCTCCTTGGAGTGACCTGTTGCAGAGCTGCTCTGCCCTACTGGCACACGAGCTCCTAGCACAAGGAGCAGGTTGTTCTGGAGAGAAGGGGGTCATGCCCTGGGCTGCCAGTGAAATGTGCGGCTGTGCATGGGCTGGGATGAGCCCTGCTCCCAAGGGATGCACACAGGAGCCCCCAGCTGCTTTGTGGGCTCTGTGCCAGGTAAAATCGCCTTGTGCCTCCTCTGCCCTGAGGATTTTGCCTCCTCAGATAGTTACCTGTGGAACCTGTGTATCTGCTGAAAGGGTTTGCAAAATTCACTGGTGAGATGAGCAGTGGGTGGACCTGAGCTGTAAGGAAGAAGCTGTTTCTTGCAGACTGTTGAGGAGGTGACCTGTGATGCCCAGACTTAGCAGCAGATTCCAACTTGTGTGTGTGTTCTTTCCTTGGTGTAGCTCAGCCTCGGGAGATCAGCTACATCCATCCATCCTGCAGGGTGCGTGGCTCATGTTTGCCTGGTGTCCCGGGCTCCAAGACACAAAGAGCAACAAAATACAAGCAGGTTCCAAGTTTCTGAAACAACATGAGCTGCAATTTAGGGTTTTCTTTTTAACATGAGAATGTTGCCACGTTTTGTCTGAGTGAATGACACAGGAAAGTCGTTTGAGAGAGAGTTGGACACCTGTGTGGCACAAAGAAGTGAAGTTGGTGCAGTCTGGCACAGGGATACGTGCGTGGGCCAGGCTTGGGAGCAAATTGTCCTGTCTGCTTCACTTGAGTTTCTTTGACAGAAGTCACTGCATTGCGCCAGGTTTTCCTTCTGGAGCAAGCTACTCTCTTTGCCTGGTCCCTGGGGGGACTGGGGCTGGGAGTGGAACAAGAAGCTGCTTAAACACCACGTAGCTGCTGATGTGGTATAAAGGATCTATACATAAAGCATAAGCTGTGCTGCTGTAGTGATGTTTCAAGCACTGGAGTTGCCTTGTCTTAACCTGGGCTATGTTACTTAGTATCATTTAGGTGCTGCTTTGTTTCACTGTCTCTTGTAGCATTTATCTTTTCTTATTGTGCTTTCCTTTTTGTGAGGGCTACCATTTGATGGGGTTGATGTAGCACTGAACACAGGGGGAATCATATTGCTAATTAGAACTCATAGATACAGCAGTGAAAAAATAGAACTTACAGCAGCACATTGTAATATTTTTCTTTGATGCCGTCTCAGTTTAAGGAAACTCGGAACTTGATCAGGCTCCATTACCTACACTTGGATACTTGGCTTTGCCTTTGTTGATTAATTCTATATGAAAGTCAGCTCTGCATTGTTTTTGCCCTAATTTTCCTCAAGCTGGAATGAGAGGGTGATATGATATTGTAGGGGTTTCTGAAGGGTCTATTTAAATACCAGAGTTAAAGCAATGGTGGCTGTTGCATCTTTAACATGAGGGCATTGGTACAGGGAGACATTTTCAGCTTCTCTTGATCTGCAAACTTTGTGCCTGCCAAGCCCATATGAAAAAAAAAAAGTTCTAATGTGTAACTGAGCTCGAGTCACTTGTTGTAGTGATGAATTTTACATTCCTGACAAAATATTAAGTTAAATAATTAATTACAAATGTTTCTTTGTCTTTTCAGTACATCAATTGTGGTAACCTGGAACAGCTACTAGATGGCAACCAGCACCTGCCCTGGACAGTGAGGGTGAAACTGGCCTATGACATTGCTATGGGAATCAGTTATCTTCACTATAAAGGCATTTTCCACCGAGACCTTACATCCAAGGTACTGTTTATAAAATTAAGGGAATTTACTAATGAAGGTACTGAAACTGATTGTTGGGTTTTCTCCCTTCTTCCATTCCATACAGAGAATTGCTATTATATAAGGTGTGATCTAAGACATTTTGAGAAACAAATTGAAATGCTCTTTGTAGAATTAAAGCTTTCCTCAAAACATGTTCATAGTTTGTATGGAAACTAGAGAAATTGTTGTCATGAAGAAAGATCGTCCCTTAAATGAGTTCAGATTAGGATTTCTCATAAAGTAGCTGCAGAGTTTTTCTAGTTCTGAATTCTGGTTCAGTGAAGTATTTAAATCCCTGGATAATTAAGCACAACAATCTAACATTTGGAACAGGTTAATCGTATAAAGAACCCAAATTGAGGGGATTATTACAAATGCACTTCAAAATCTCCTTGTTGTTTTTGTTTCCCTGTGTATTTCACAAGTCTTCTGTAGGAAGAGTGACCTTTCATTACTAATTCTGCCTTAAGTGCAATCCTGGTTTATGTTTCTTTCATTTTTGAAGTCAGTAAGATCAATATAGTTTGCCTAAAATTTTCAAATTTTGATTTTTTTTTTCCCCAGAATAATATATGAGTGGCAGAGTTTTCAGCAGACATAGATTTATTTTTTTCTAGTTGCTTTGGTGGCATGTTGCATGACTTCAGTTGGCTGAAGTAGCTGGATAATTCAAGCTCAGCTAGAAATATTGACATAGGAGCAGCGCTGTGTGAGCAGATTGTCCCAGTATTCATCCTGGCTCTTAGCACCCACTGCAGCCTGTGCTGAGGGCTTTGCTGTCCTGTCTGTCCTGTTGTCTGGTGCTAATGAGCTGGTTCAAGCTCACTGGGGGCCTGCAACATGAAAGTCTTTCAAAGCTCTTCTTGAGAATGCTTCACCATGTCACTTCAATCAGAAGCATCCGGAAGAATGTTAATTTAGTCTAAAAGGAATTATTTTTTTAGGATTAGAAACAGTTTTTAGAAATAAAACCACAACAGAGTGTGTTTACCAGTGAGGCTACTACAGTTTTAGGGGTTTTTTAAAAGCTTCCTTAGTGCAGTGTTGAACAGATGTGGAGTCTGCATTTAGTCAAGGTGAAAAAAAAGTTCAGCTGGTAGATGAAAGAAGTACTTTGGTGAAGTCATAAAATACTTTCTTGGCTGTTCTTTCAAGTGAAAGGCACTGAATTCTGTAAGGCAGAATATCAAATTTATGAAAAATACTCAGACTTGGAGTCATGTCACTTTGACATGATATGCTCAGAAAGCTCCATTTCAGTCACTTTGGAGTGTGCAGGTAAGAGATCCATAAAAATATCTGAAAAGACAGCTTGGTGTTTCCTTTTCTTTTTCAGTTCAGGATGTATTTTAGTGCATTTAAGAGTAGAGTTGCTGCAAGGAACCACAGTAACTAAGGCGAACCGAGTGCCTGCAGCATTTATTGTAACACATTCTGTGATGGTCAGTCATATGAAAATCCAGTTCCTGGGCTCCCTGTGAATGCCTTTGTTCCCAGCTTTACATAACTGTATGTCATTCTCTGGGGCTGCCCTGCCAATGCTTCAGTGTTATCTATTGTTGAATGCCAATTGTTTGGAAAGCTGCACCCGCTGGGAGGGGTGCAGGATGTCCCAGGAAGAGCAAACTCATCAGAGGCCATGGGAAGTGGTTAAGGTTATTGAAAAACAAATGAACAACAAATCAAACCCCAAGAATTCACTAGCTGTTATGCTGTATTTGGATGGTTCTTAGCACTAAAGTTATAGTATCTGTGTGGGTCACATTGAAAGCTGTCAGCTCTAAGAATAATAGAGAATTTAACTGATGACAGCTGTAGTCTGTATTTTTCAATTTCTTTGGGATTTTTGGTTTGTTTTTGTGTTGTTTTGGTTTTTTAAGTTTAATTAATTTTTTTAATGTGATGTATGTGCTTTCCTTGTTCTATTTGGAAAGGAAGTACATGAAGCACCCAGCCTTAAACACTCACCTTAAACAACTCATGTATTTTATTAGCATATTAAGGTATTACGCTTTCCTTGTTCTGTTTGGAAAGGAAGTAGATGAAGCACCTGGCCTTAAACACTCACCTTAACTCATGTATTTTATTAGCATATTAAGGTATTAATGACATAAACTTTAGATCTGTTGGGCAAACTACTCCCCTTTTGGGCAAAAGTTTGCGCTGCTGGCAGGCTAAGTTTTTAAAAAGTAACTTTGTTCCAAAGCAAAGCAATGAAAATAACCACAGGTAAAACCTGTCACCAGAATTTTCAGTTCTCAGACTTCAGCTTTTGGCTACTGCTTGAGAATATGCCTTGGCTTTTACCAGGTTTGTACTGGTGATAGGATGGGCTGTCTTCATTCTTACTTGCAAATAGTGTGTGAGCAAGCTGAAGGAAGATGTGATGGACTCGCCTTGGGAGAGAACTGGGATTGAACAAAGGCAAATTCAATACTGCTCTGTATTGTCCTTCATTCTTCAGTAAACTTCAGTGATTGATGGGATGGCTTTATTGTTCAAATTAAGGCAAAGACAAGGGTTTCGACATCTGCAAAAGTCAGAACAGACTGAGTTTGCAAGGTGGGAGATTGGAGTATTTTTCTATGAAACTTGCTCACCTTGACTGAAGTGTGAAAAGAATGAAACAGACTTTCTGTGCAGGAATGTCTCCATGCTTTACATGTTACATTTGGGATGATAGCCCACTGCAAACAGTCCCTTTAATATGAATTTTACTAATTTTAATTAATTTAGACCCATACTTCTGCCTTTCTGTTTCTGGTAAACCTCTAATTCCTGCAGCTTCCTGGAGTGGATGGTGTGATACATAAATTTTACTGTGTCAGTTATAGCAGAAGAGTTGTCTTGCTCTTAGCATTATACGTGTCAATGTATTTGATGCCTAACAATTTAAAGAAAGAAAAGTTCCTGTCCCCTGCCAATCTAAGATTGGAAAATAAGTGTGTTGAGCCATTAGTATATAGCAGGGTGATCTCGCTTCCTAATTGCACCATGTGGAGAGGAACAGAACAGCATTGATACTGCAGGAGGCCAGAGGGAAGAACGGTAGAGAAGAGGAGATGTAGGTCATTATAGTCGATGTGACAGCCCAGGGGCATGTCAGCCCTCATATCCCACTGGTGCCCTTCCCCATGGCCTTCTGTCAAAAAGAGAGGCAGTGCTGGTTAGAAGGGATGTGCTGCCCCGACAGCTGCTGCTTCCCTGTGTCATGAGCAGCTCTGGGCTTGGGCTGCTGTAGCTGATCAGGCTGAGCTGCCCTCATTGGGAGCAACAGCCTGGCTTGAATCTGTCAGAAGGTACGAGTGGTCAGACTGGCCATTTGCAGCCTGCACAGAGTAGGGGTGTGGGCAGAGGGACTTGGACTTTTTATAGGCCCAGAAATGTGGTGTCTGCACTTCTGACTCTTCATGAAATGATTTACGTGGAAATGAAGCCACAGATGGGTTCTGACAGCCAGCCTTGTTGGCTTCTTCCCTGGTCTTGGTCTCTGCCAGTCCCTGGCTTGGGCTTATGCTCTTTCTGCCTTAGTCGTGCTCTCAAATTCCTCACACAGCATATACTGTTCTACTGTATCCCAGTCTGCTCTTTGCAGAGATGGCAACAGAAGCATCTTATACAGGGGTCTCACCATGTTTCAAGGTGAGAACATGCCCAGTTCGGTATGATACCATAGACTGATATTTTGACAGTTTACACCCCCTCTCTAAAAATCCACTACCAAAACTCTTGATTAAAAATAAACAGGCAAACCTCCAAACCAAATGCCTTTTAACTTTGCAGAATTATACATAATTTATAATCAATAGTAGGTTGTGAGCAGTTTTGGGGAATATTGTGACCTCCATTGATGATAAAATCTATGAAGAAATTATAATCTCTGGGCACATGCATATATAAACATGTGTATGTGTGTGTATTTCTGTCAACATCTGCTTCCACTTCACATTGTGTAATGGCTCAGCCTTCTCTCACTGAGAGAGGAGCAACCTCAGTTACTATGGGACAGAGTCATATGTGTAAGCAATTACTGTGGATTATCTGGTGTAACATAAATTCACTGCTTTTGGCCTTGAAAGTGACATGCCCTGCCTTCCTACCTTCTATGCTGTTTGCTTCTTTAAAACAAAATAAACCCCAGGCTGTGAACAGCACCTTTGTCTGATGAGTCTCAAAGTTGGTGCTGCAGTTGCAAGGTCCCCTTTGTGCTGGAATAAGCTCTTGTCTGGATATTTTGCACTGAAGAAATTAACTGTTACAGATGGCTATTTCTAATGACAGTCTCAATACTAAAAGTCTACTGATACTTTGGGAAGCAAATGGAACCTCTCCCTTAAGCATAATAGTTTGAAAAGTGTAACTAGTACTGTAAACTTCCTGTTACACATTTAATTCTCAGTGGGGTTTCTCCTAGAGAATAGCACTTTTTAAACAGCTGATACATCTCAATTGGCCTTTAAGGATTTTAATTTGGTTACAGTCATCAGAAGGTTGCAAATGACACTGCCGTGGCATTTCTGTGTTTTCTGGAGTGCAGTAAAATCTCTGAGGAGTTTAGCTAGTATGTAATATCATAAAATAAAACTACGATGTTTCTTCATCTAAGCGACTTATTTTTAACTCTGAAACTCTGGAGTCTATTTTCATTTTTGTTTATGTAAAAGGGGGAGTAGAATATTGCATTCATCTTCGTAGGATTATGCTGTGCAAAGCAGATGTTAAGCTCCTGTAACACACAAAGGGGGCTTTATGTTCTTTCACATCTGTCTGCATAAACAGCTCTGTTAACTCTTTCAGACTCATGTGCAGAGCTCCTTGCTTCTATTAAGAGACTGCCTCAGGAAGGACTGATGAGGTCCCTATTTTGGGAGGGAAAAAAACCCTCAAAAACTCAACTGAAGTCAAATACTGCCCTCTTTGACTGTGTGAGCTGCCAAGGGAAGAACATCCCTGTCCATAGAAGTCCACAAAGAAAGCCTGAAAAGGTCACCAAGTTTTATTGCCTTGCAGCTTATACAAATAGTGCAATAGTAAGTCAAAAGTGCTTTCTCAAAGCTCGTGTTGTGAAGCTGCTTGGCATTTCATTTCATAGGCAGTTGTTGAGAGGCTCTTTGCACTAGTGAAGGGTTTGAACTCTTGCATCTCTGAGCTAAAATCCATTGATGGGACTTCATACCACACTGAAATATACTATTTTTTTTGCAGAAACTGTTGGAAGAAACAGTGCAGTTTGTACTGTTGTCCTGTTCCTACCAAGATACCACCTCTAGATAAAATTCAAAAGCTATTTTTAACCTTTTAGTCTCTACCAAAGCTTTGTCGCTTTTTGATCTTGATTTATCTTGTTGGTAGAATGTGAATTCTTTCCGTCTTTCACTGAATGCACATGAACCACAGTGGGCTGTGTTATGTCACCTATTTATGAATTGCATCATAAATCTGGTAACTCCATTATCTGTGCTGTGGGTTTGGCATTACTTGAGTGGGAAGCATGGAGAAAAGGAGTGTGATGGTGCTGAGGGCTCACCTTGACTGCTTGGAGAATCTCAGCACAGAATGCAGCTTTACCATCTGTGCAGTCCTGTCCTGAATGAGCAGTACAGGCTGGAGATGTGACATCTGACCATGCTGGTGTATGCAGAAAGGGTTTACTACTGATTTTGCTAGGAATGGGCTTTCATTCTTTCTGGGTTCCAGGAAGTCAGTGCTTAGCTAAGTAAAAATTTGCTCCAGATGAATTAAATCAGTTTAGTTTCACTACAGTGAGCATTTGTAGTGACGCTGGAATTTTATTGTATGGTACATGTCACCTGCCTGTGGCTGATTTAAGTGTGAATAAAAAAGTCACTCTTGTATTGGAATACATAACCTAATGAATTTAAATTCACACTCAGCACTTCATGTGCAAACAAAAGAAAAGTGTGCACTAATGAGAGAACAGTTTGTGCAGCCCACCACAGCAGAGCAGCTCCTATCAGCAGGAATGTTGCCCAAGGCTTTCCCCTGGTGCCTTCTCCTGGTGGAATGGCCTCTCCTGTGGGACCTGTGGACCCCACAGCAGTGGGGTGTCTGTGCTGTTGGGTCTCTCCAAATGCTTGCACTGAAAGGGAAGCCTGGCTCTGCTGCAGGCAAATCCTGCTCATCGGGGAAGGGGCTCAGAGCTGTCAGGCAGCATTGATTTAATGTATGATTTATCTAGGAATAACCTACTTGTGTAACAGTTCAGTGCTGCACCTGAAAGCTGAGACTGCCTGGGGCTTGGTGGGGGTAGGATTGTTCAGCTTCAGTTGATGTATCCCTGTCTAATGGGATGAGTTTAGATCCTGGTAAGAACCTGAAGGAATATTTGCTGTCAGGATGATGTTTCATTTAAGCTTCCTTTTGGTAACAAAGCAGGCTTGTAAATTATTGTGGATCTTAAGATCAGTAGACAGATTTTTAGTTATGTTGCACATAGTTCTTAGTTGGGATGTAAATGTTTCCTCAAAATTTTGGAGATCAGGGGTTATTGGAGAATGACAATGATCCATAAAACCCAGAAGGTAAAATTAAGTACTGCTGTCTTGCTTCTCAAAATGAATAAAATATAAAAGGAATAATGCAAGAAGGAAACTTACATTTCAAAACTAGTGCTTACAAATTATAGAGGTTTTTTAAAAAATGTTGAATTAAGAATCATCTTTAGTCACTGAGAAATCTATGGCAGAAAAGTAACCTGATTTTTTTTTTTTTTTTTGCATAAAATAGTATCAGCCTTCTTGAACACTGCAAAATCTTTGGTGTCCTCATGGACTTGTTTCTGTGTGGCACACAATGAAATTCCACTTGTCTGAATCATTTGAGTAAGATTTTTCAGTAGTTTTATCCTTCTCAGTTTTAAGTCCACTTACTGTGACCAAATGTTTAAAGAGAGGCAAGCTGAATGAATGCACTCTTTGATAAAAGATAACAAAGCCCGCAACTGAGAAGCTTTGCTGCTCTTTGGGCAAGCACAGTTGATTTAACTTGGTACATGTTTATGAATCCCCAAACTAACTGTAGTTATTATACTTGAGTCATGCTAAACAAATAAAGCTTTGCATTTCAGGAGGCTGGCATGCATTTTCTTTACATGATCGCAGGAGTGGCTCGCTTAACCTTTTAATTGGCAGGAAGAAAACTCACTTCATGGCCTAAGCCACAATCGCCTCTGAATAATGTAAACAGTGATGACCTGAACTTGATCTTTTAGACAAGGGACTCACTTTTCTTGGTTGTTGCATTGTACAGACAAGCTAATGCTCTGGGGTCAGCGAGGGGCTTTTGTGTATCCAGGCACAAGAAAGGCAGAAAGTGTTTCCTGCTGTTTAGCTAATTAATGCAGGGTACCACTCGGCAGGAGTCAGCAGTGGGTGTGCTGCTGTCACTGCTATGGTACTGCCAGCAGGAGGATACAGAACAACACGTGGGAAAGGAATGAATTCTCTGTCTTGTTCCATCTATGGCAGGACAGAACAAAATGCAGCGAATCAGCTATCGATTCATTTGGTGAAATGGGAAAAGATGTGCTACTGCAATGGTCAAAGGATATTTCTCAGAGTTGTAAATAAAAAACAAAAAGAAATCGATAATACCCTGTGTGGGATGTGATGCTGTTAGAGCACAATTATCTGTGTGTGTCCTTAAGCTGCCCTCCATCCTGACACTGGAGGGTACATCTGAAAAGAAAAGACTGACAGCATTTCCCTATTACTTTTCTTTTAAATCATGTCTTATGATGTACTGTAAAATAAAGAAATCTGAGGCTCTAAAAGTACATATGACTTGGTCACATCTTATATTTTCTGGTGGAAGCTTACTGCAAAGCAGTGAGTTCCTTTTCAGTAGTTAATGCAACAAAACATAGAAAGGCATTTAGAGTCTGCTCTGATCTTGTATTCTTGTCAGGTACAGGCAAATTGTAAAGAGAAAATGTAAGGTGTCATAGTGAACAGCATGTATTGCATATTTGAGCATAAGGGAGCTAAATCATCTTAATTCTTGTTAAAACCTAGCAGGATATGTGCTGCCTGTGGCTGCCTGCCTTCTCAGCAAGTTTTTAAGTGGATTATTAGCTAAGTGGAAGGCTGTTTGCAGCATCTTAAGTTTGATAGACATGTGATTGTGCAGGGGGAGGGTGGGGGAAAAGGGTTGTTGCTCTCAGACAAAAGCTTCTCATAGATGAATATCTCCCAAACTATATTTGTAGTCTTGTTTTATCTATTTTTAATCTGCAATGTCACAGAGGTTTCATGCCCAGATAATAACTCTTCTGTTTGGCTTTTGTTTTTTGTTGTTTTTTTTTCCAGAACTGTTTAATCAAACACGATGAGAATGGATACTCAGCAATAGTTGGAGACTTTGGTTTAGCAGAGAAAATTCCTGATCACAGGTATGTGAGCTAATCTAAATGGAGTCAGAGTTGTAGGACAAATGCAGGTCAGAAGCTCTAGTGAGCCAGATCCCTGAGACTGTTATTGCACTCTGGTACAGAATTTCCAAAAAGTACCCTCAGTCTTCAGTCTGGAACTGCAGGCTGGATAGCCATAATGGTCCAGCCTTTATTACTGACCATTTTGATATTTAGTGGTGATATTTATTCTTCAAAAATGTTCCAAGCACTAAAGCATTTGCTCAAGCTTTTTGGTAGGTCTTTTAAGGTGGTACTTGGGAATTTTGGGTTTAAAAAAACCCAAAATACAAACCAGACACAATAATAAAAAATACTGTCCAGCATTCTGGATTAGGCATATATTATTTGTAATAAATGTCATTTGTTGATTTCAAGCAACTTTAGCTTCTTTGCACTTTCATAAACAATATTCATTGTCATTTCAGCATTATTCTTATTTAACCTCTGGGTTAGTTTTTATGATCCAGGATTATAACAGAGTAAAATAAAATTAATTATTAAATTACTAACTAACATTAGCTTACAATTTTCTTTTCCCTAGGATGAAATTATAATCTTAACTCATTTGAGGAATACACAGGGGACTGTCACAAGCTATTGTCACAATTGAAAATAGTCCTTTTGTCATCCCTCCATTAGAGAGATCAAGGACAAGATTTCGTTGTTCTCTCTGTATATTGACTTGTGTATTGCAGAGTATTCTGACTGTGAAATGTCCTGTCAGATTTTCTCAGCGTGTGCTCCTGTGTGAAATAAATAAAAGCTTTCCAGCACTTCTGACTTTGTTTCTGCAAAGAAAACAATAAAAGTTGATCTTAGCTCTGCACAGTTTTTAAACAGCACATATCCTAAAACCATATATTGAGAGATATGAAAGTTTGCATTAATATTGGTGAAATATTGGATCTAAAAGCTTAAAACAAACATCTTAATTTACAAACTACTGATAAGTGCAGCCTATGTCTGTCTTGTAGCTGCTGTGGAGCACCCTGTGAGGTGCTGGAAGCTTCAGCTGTTTTCAGATGAACCCATCACAAAATCAGGAAGACACTACAGGTGCCTTAAGGTGTCCTTAATACCCAGCTTTGAGATGCCCTGAAAACTGAGATTACAGTTAAGGTAGCTTGAGACCAAAGCCAGCAGCATAATAGAATTGCTGCATTAGCACTATTAGCCACTATTTTGTTTTTATCTAGTTTTACCTCCATTTTCAAAAGCAGCTTTGTTCTTTCCAGTTTGCTGGTAACAAGCCATGCTACTTTGAGGCCTTCAGAGGCCTTTTCTTTTTTAAATAGGTATTCCCTCAAGATCAGCTGGGTGACAGGCTGGAGCCTTTCTTAAAGCCCCAGCATTCAGCTTTATGGAAACTGCAATTTTTTTCAAATTGGGTCTATTCTAATTACCTTTTTCCATACTAAAGGATTCGTCTGGTCCAACTTGATTTTTATTTTTTTTAATACTGTTTTAAATTTTTTTTTAATAGTAAGTTTGACTTCATTCAGAGCTGCATGTACATCTAGGGATGGATACCTGCATGTCTTGCTAGATGAATGGAGAACTTGGCCTCTAGCCCAAAACTGATGTCTGACATTTTCATGTGTAGATGAAGGAGACAATTCTGCCAAGAGTTAGGCAATAAAAACTATTGAACAGCTGTGATCTTAAAATAAAACATTCTTTTAAAGTGGCTGTGCACTTTAAACTGGAAATAAAATATGAGTAATTGATTGGGAAAGTTAATAGCAATGCTTGAGCATTTAATTAATGATTCTTCCTTCTCTCCCACCACCTCCCATCCCTACCTATCCCACATCTATATAGTGAGAAGTTACCAGTTGTGGGTTCACCTTTCTGGATGGCACCAGAAGTTCTCAGAGATGAGCCCTACAATGAAAAGGTAGGTACACGATATAAATGCAATTAGTTGTCAAAATGTTTTTCTTCTGTAGCAGTATGCAAGATTTAGAATTTCCATCATATTAAAACTATTGTTTTTTCACTTATGATGTTTCTGTACTCAGTAAGGGAGAGTGAGAATTAAATAGCAATATTTGTAATTCATGGTGTTTAATCTTGTATGGAAACAGAATTGGCTTTATGATTGTTCTGTGTTATGCTAATTCCATTCTGAAACACTCCACATACTGAAGTATAGTAATGTTTGGTTAACCTAACACAATTTAATTTAACCAAGTCTGAGAAATGTAGCAAAGTTGCTTCCCTGACTGTACACTAATGAAATCTGGGTAGAAGTAAAAGGTCTGTATGTAAACTTGCACAATTCTGTGTGTGTAAATATATACTGTATGTGTATAAATACAAAAAATAAACCCGCATGTCTTAAGGTGAGATACCTTGAGAAGACAAAATGTTCTCCAAAGGTATTTCTAAGTTTTCCTGTTTATGTCATTGGGAAATGTTTCTTTCAGAGGAGGATCAGGTCATACTGGGTTTTAGAAGTGGTGTTTTCAATCAATCTCTTTACACAGGATTTTGTCTCCATTACTTCAGCTCTGCCTGTGCAGCTTTTATGTGATAAAGCCCACATCCTGTACCTCTCTATATCTGGTAATTAATACTCTGTTTAATTGGAGGTACTTTTAACTTGCAGGAAAGCAGTAACTACCTCAATAGTGAATGTAATAATTACAATTTCAAAGAGTTTAATTGACCTAAATTAATAATTAAGAACCCAAATCTATGATGTCACATTCCTCATTGACCCTACCATAGGGAGGACTAAAGAGGAAGCAGATGTCATACCTCATCAGCATGAAAGGTGACATATAAACAAGCCTGATAAGGGATGAGGGATTCATGCTTCTGTCCTGTAGACTTGTATTCCACGTTTTCCTGAATTTTATTACCTGAAAAATTCAGGTGGGTGGAAATCTGAGGAACTGTGCAGCTCTAGATGTAGTCAGATAAGTGGTTACTAAACGTCATGGAAATTAAACCTGATATGCAGTGCTGCTAGGTATCTCAAGCTTTGGGAAGACAGTTCTCCAGAGGTACTGAACTGAGAAGAGGAAAATATAATTTTTCTTAAAAATAGCATTGTTGTTCTGACTAGGCTGTGAATCATGTATTCTAAACCTGTTTTTCTAACCACAGTGATATATGGGCATGCGATGTTTTAGCCATATTTTTAATTATTCCCATGTGTAGGACATCAGATGGAACTTCACTATTCTTCATGCAAAGAAGGATTTTTTATTTTTTTAAATGTTTGCATTGCTGAATTAAGAGTGGTTTGGTGGGGTTTTCTTTTTTGTTCTTGAAAGAATTTTGAATTTATCATTGTTATTTGTACAACAAGAATGCTTTCTGTGAGCATGGCTTTCTTCACATGGAAAATGTTAGCTTTAATGCAGTTGCTCAGTGTTTGAGGCTGTGGTGTTGTTTAGTTGTTTCATGATAGCCATTTGGGGTAAGGAGAAACTCAGTGGCAGATAAGAATGCTGAGCATTCATAACTGAACCATGTGTCTATTAATTTTTTTCTCTCTCAGGCAGATGTGTTCTCCTATGGCATAATTCTGTGTGAGATTATAGCAAGAATACAGGCAGACCCAGACTATCTCCCTCGCACAGAGGTAAGTGGTTGTGTTTATAACATTGGTGGGAGGTGCTGAGTCTGCCATGATAACAGCTCAGCCTTTAGAACTTCTGCCACTGCTGTCAAAGATAGGATGAATAGGTGTGACATTAAAAATAGCCTGTAAAAAGCTTTTGCTTTTTATGCTGTTATTGTAGGAAGCTCCATTGAAGACACTTTCTCAGAGACTGTGCATCTGCAATCCTCATGGGAGTCCTTTCTGCCCTAACTGGCAGGGCATCGAGAGCATTGCAATGCAAACTCTTCCTTTTGTGGAGTGATAGCTCATGTGGACTTCTTGCCAGGCTCACAACGAGACATTTTGGCACTCTGTGTGCACTAAGCAGCCCCCTCCCTGTCAAAGGGGCTGGAGCTGTGCTAACAGCAGTAAAATAAGTTAACCCTCATTTTTGTGTGAACTCTGCTAAGCACAGTGGATCTGAGCTATAATTGACTAATTAAAGATACTTTTTTCTTTATTTGTCCCATCTACAGGGCAGCTTTTGATCCTTTGTGGGGTTATTCCAAATTGTCTATTCCCCTCCATTTCTGAAAATGGAAAATTGCTTAAGTCTTGAACTGCAATAAATAAAAGATTCTTTTTTTAGTCTGCTCTTCAGATTTTATAGACATGCACTTAAGGAATTGGATAATTTGTATTACCAGTCTACCATCCACTGACAAGTTAGCCATTTTAACTGATATTTTTCCATCAGAGCAAAGCCTCTGGTTTTGGAGTAGGCTGTTAATTTGCACTATGAAAATCACTACAGTGAAACATCATAGTATACAGTATTGTTTCCAAATCCACACAGGCAGCATTTCAAGTGCAGTGGATTGCATTTGAATCCAGGAGAAGGATGGGTTTTGATGTCAGCCCCTTCTCTTACAGCTATCCTGTGTCAGTAATCCCCACTGGGGACCCTGCAGTTTGGAGTGTGCATGAAGTTTTCTCTAACTCCTCTGTTATGTGGTTACTGGGAAAGGTGTTCATGGTTATTGCTGATAACTTCACATAGGGATCCCCTAAAAGCATATGCTTTGAGCTAGATAGATCTCATTTATTTCTCTATGCTTTGTTGTCATTTGTACAGAATTTTGGATTAGATTATGATTCCTTCCAGCACATGGTGGGAGACTGTCCTCCTGACTTCCTCCAGCTGGCCTTCAACTGCTGTAATGTGAGTATCTTATTTGAAAGGGAGAGGCCTAACTCTAAATCCCTCTGGCTTTTGAAGAAAAAGCTTGAAGCATTTACAGGAGAGACTTGAAGAGCCTACCTCTAGAAGCAGTGTACCTTCTGGCAGCCCAGGAAGTCCCCTTCAGTTTTTATAATCCTTCCCCTCCCCTTGCTCAAAGGTCTGTCTTGTGTTTCTGCAATTCAGTGTTCTGTCATGCCAAACAAACAGGTCTGGCACACTGAACAGCTTCTTGCAGGCTGCTCAGGCTGACCATAACCAGTTGGATGCCATTGACACTGGCTAACCCTCGGGCTGACAAAATCCAGCTGCTGTTGTGTGCAGACCCACTGAGCTATGAAGGAAGGACTGAGTTGCTCTTACAAACAGAGGGGATAAACAAACCAAGAGCAGGCATTAAACTATTACAAAGTGTCTCTATGATGCCTTTTGGAAAAGGGGTTTGACATCCTAATCCTTAGCCTGTGTCATAAAACCCAAACTTGGACTGAAATTACTTAATATCTGTAAGGCTATAGGCCATGTGCTGTATGGAAAAAAATTTCTGGCAATTATTCAAGTAAAATTGTGATAGTAGATACCTTTCTGGCTCCTTATTGTGAAAACTCCAGGGCAGTAGATCTCTTCTGCTGGTTGTCCTGTAACAGTGTTACTGGTACCAATTTATGTTAACCAGTTTATATAAAACAAGAGAACCTGAGCTTCCACCACATTCAGCTGAAGTTGGGAATGTCCAGTTTGCTCAACTTAAGTAGAGGCAACTTTAAAAAATTTTACTGCACAAAACTTGACCCTGGGTTCACAACCAGGCTGTGCTGGAACTGATGCCAGCATTGTGTGCAAGTGAGTGCTTTTAAGAAGTCTCATCTCTTTGTGCTTTCGGTGGCTATTTTTGATCTGATGTCTCTCTTTACTTTGTATTAGTACAAAAGCCCATGTTCAAGGAGAGAGTGGTATAAAGGTGAGAATGGGGGCAGTGACTGCTGCTCTTGCCACCACATAGCATAATTTAATTTTTAAGATGCTTGTGGAACTTAGTATGGATGAGGTATTTAACTCCTCTTATTTCACCTTAGTACAGCAGAGCTTGCTTCACCTGGATAGGGATACATCTCACTCTGTTTATGGAACCCTTTGATTACATGAGCACTAAAGGAGGATTTGACTTTGGAAAAGCTCAGCTCCCACCTGCAGACTCCAGAAATGGTATTGCATCCAAACACATGGAGCATGATTCAAAGCAATTTTTCAGCTCAGAACTTCAGAGTAAAGCTTCTCATGAAGGAAGAGGCAGTGACCTTGTATTCTCATGTAAAATTTGGTGTGCTCAGAGAAGAAGGGTTTTCTCCTGCCCATTATTGTTAAATGCAGCTTCCTGTATAATAAATGTCCCTTTGCTGAATTGAAATGGAAATTACTGTCTTGTGATCTGGCCATTAATATGCTGATTTCAGTGTGGGGCATGCTGGAATTCACATACCACTCACCTAGAAGGGAAACAGAGTAACAGATAAGGCCTTCTTATATCTTCCTAAGCATCTGTGCCTCAGTAAGAGGTGATCAGTGTGGTGATTTTCTCTGAGACATGGACGTTTATGTACCTTTTTATTATTTAATAGGTCAGCAAGGTGTGAACTGTATAGCCCAGCTGAACTAATGTGCAAAGCCCTGGGATTTCCTACAGCCAGGAAATGTGTTCTAAGGCACCCTAAGAAAACCAGTAAAAACTGACATGTATGAGTAGTGGATTAAAATTTAACTTACAGTTAGAAAGTGTGGGGGTTTGTAAATAAGCACCTGCAAGAATCCAACAATTATAAACCTACTTGTGGGAATATTTAATAAATGTAATCATAAATGATCATGCAAAAAGCTTGCCAGGATGCGCTAAGCTGTTGGCAACTGCTGATTTGAGAAGGAATCTTCTCTTCCATTTGAGCAGAATTTGGACTGCTCAGGGATGGAAGAGGCAGATACTTCTCTGAGTAACTTTTCCATTGCTGCTCTTGTCTTGGATCTTACCTAGCACAAATTAAAATAGCCAGAGAGCTCTTTTTACTTCCTCTAACTTCCTGTAGCTTGCAACAGCTCCGTAAGATTCCCAAATTAGTAAGTTTGTCAGAGTACAGTGTGTGCTTCAGTATTGCCCCTGCCCTACTCTTTCAGTGAAATAGGGAATGCAGAAAAATGTTTTCAATGCCAGTAAATTCCAGCTGCTGCTTTAGAACAATTTTCTTGCTGCTGTTGAGTTCTTCAAGTGTGGTTTCTTTGGTTTTTGTTACTGTTGGTAGGAGTTTTTATCACTTTTCCCCTTGTTGCTAGATGTTCTGGCATTTCTGAGCATACCAGTTGTCTTCAGAAAGATCCATCTCAAACAACCTGCAGGGCAGTATCAGGGAGGTCTTTGGGGTTTGTTGTGTACAAAGCACTACTGTTCCCATTGTAGAAGTGGGATCTGTCTGGGCCTGTCCACTCTGAAAAAGCCTTTAGCAGGCTGGAAACAGCAATCAGGTCAAGCAGAATAGTTTATATTACTGGAATAAAGTTAACTTTCAGCTCCTGAATTAGGTGTTGCTACCTACAGTAGTGAAACCTGTGACATATATACGTAGTCAACGCTCAAAATGATGAAATGCTCTCAAAGTTACTGCTTAAAGGAAGCTGCTTGCCCTGTGGTACAATTTCAGTGTTGGACTTTGTTTAGAGATCTATATCTGCTAGAGTGAATAAATACATGCATACTGAGAAATACAGACTAATACATATTGATAAGCAGGGGGAATATTTTACCTGAGAAAGATGGAGTTTTCTTTTTCCTAATTTATAGCTTTGTCAAATTATATAACTATCCTTGCTTCAGTACACTGAGTAGTATGGCTCATTAACAGATGGAAAAATACAACATTTTCAGCTTTAAGATCAGCAGTGCCATTTAGGTGTGTATTAATTAAAGCCACGAGGAGATGATGGAATAACTACAACCTTTTGAAGACTGACATAGCCATGTTGTTTTGTGTAGTCCTTTTGAAATAACACTGGTACATAATCTTTGTTTGGTAACCAGAGTCCAGAAAGAAATCGTGAACTATTCAAGCTGTTTCAAGCAAACCAACCAACCCCCCTCACAAGCCCTGAATCTGAGAGTTTCCCACCTTTACAATTCAAAATTTTTCCTTTTCATAGAATATTTACAAATGGATGATTAAATTTGCGAGGTGTAATAGAATACTGCTGTTCCCCTTCTTTTTTTTTTTTTTTTTTTGCGATGACAGCATACTTAAAACCATTTTGAATTTCCTCAGTTTCCTCAGATTGTCCCTCTCTCTGTTCACTGTATAAGCAGAATAGCATGGACAAACCCACGTGGACTTATTTGATTTGTGTGCATTCACAGATGGATCCAAAGTTGCGTCCTTCATTTGCTGATATTGTCAAAACACTGGAGGGAATGTTAAACCGCCTGAGAAATGAGGACTCGGAGAGAGACAGGAAGTTCTCGAACCTTGACAACAATGAAAGAAAACCAAAAGGTAAATGTGTGTCTTCTACAAACATTGCTGGCTGCTCACAGCAAGAGGAGGAAAAGCTTCATACTTTGAAAACTGGTATTCGGCTATATATGGTTTTATTTATGGTTTAGGAATGATTTTACACAAACCCTGAAAATTATTGGAGCAATGCTCTATGCTTTGCATTGTGGAATGTCCTTTGGTGAAAAAGCAGCTAACTGTTTCTTAAAGTGCCTGATAATAATCTGTCCCCAAGATCTTGAGAGGAAATTTAGAGTTCATTTGGGAATGGGTTTGTAAATTGCTGATAGTATATGAAAATCCATAAATTTTTGATTTATTGCTGCCATATTTCGTACATATACATAATTTCTTTGGTGTATGTTACTTGTAATATTTAGAGGCTTCTTAAATTCCTTCAGGAGGAAGAGCACAGAAGATGCAAGAGTATTATAAAGTACCTAGAAATACTCTGAAAGACGAGAAAAGATGAGTCTCAGGTCTGCTTGGGAATGTTGGCCTTGAAAGGTTTTCTCTAAAGCTGTCTGGTGCCACCTGGTGTGGGGAGCAAACACTTGTAGCCTGGGCTTGGGTGTTTTATGTTAGTACACTTTTGGCATTAGAAACTTAGAGTACATTTAAAATAGTTTCTTATATTATGTGGATATACAAATATGCAACATATAGAAATAATTATTGATCTGTAATATAGTTGTAGATTGAAATAATTTTTCTCTATGTCAAACCACAAAGAGTTAGTGCATGTGGTAGTTCTCCCACACCTGGAAAGCATCTAAAAGAGGTGTGAGTTTAAAAAAAAGGAAGTTTGTTTGTTTAGGGTTTTTTGTTTGGGTTGGGATTTTTCTTTTGATGTTTGGTTTTGGTTTGTTTTTTTTTTTCCTGGCATTCTCCCTTTGGAGTACATGTACAAAACAAGTACTTCTTTGAGAAGTGTTACATGCTGTTCTGCATAGTCTTTCCTACATGGAATGACTGTATTCTAAACTGTGGCAGTATTTTGGGGGAAAAGTGAAAATCCATGTGCAATTCTGGAAATGGTAGTCAAAAGGAGAAATCACTTCTTTATACCCATTTGTTATTGCTCTCTAACATGGCTCTTCAGAGGCATCTTGAGAGCCCACGACAGATGCATGTTCCAAACACCTGGGGAGTTAACATCTACCAGTTTCTCATCCTAATCTAGTGATACAGCTTTTATTTATAAATGTCTGTGTGTGCAATGGGTGCAAATACACAGGCATATGTACAACTTTTAAACTCTTATTCATTAGGGTCAGACTCTCACATGTTTTGTACTGGATAATGTACTGAAAGAAGGCTGGTATAGAATGACTTAAAATCTGCATGGTACAAGGAGAGATTTTTTTTTAATTTAGACATTTCCCATCAGGGTGAAAAAGTGCCAGTTTCTTTGGCCTATTCATTAGGGTCAGACTCTCACATATCTCCAGTTTTGTACTGGATAATGTACTGAAAGAAGGCTAGGATGGAATGACTTAAAATCTGCATGGTACAAGGAGAGATTTTTTTTTAATTTAGACATTTCCCATCAGGGTGAAAAAGTGCCAGTTTCTTTGGCAACTGTTTTGTACTGGTTCTCTTTTGTGGTCAGTAGCACCAACAGCGCCTGGGCAACCTCTACGGGAAGGCAGGATGATAAATCTAGAACATGCAAATTGTTCTTCTCCAACCACCCCGTGCCATCTCTGCTGTGGCAGTGTACTGGCAGCAAGGAGGTTTGCAGGGGCCTTAAATACACTGAGGAGAAGAGAAGAGAATGGTGTTCTTGTTTGTGCAGCAGCTTAAAAGGAAGGAGCAGACATGTGCTTATGGAGCATAGTTTGGAATATCAGAAACAGCTTTTTTTTTTACAGTGGTCGTGAAGGCTCTGTGAGTGAGAAGGCACAGCATATGGACCTTCTTTAAGCTAAGAGTGTTTCTCTTTTTGTACTCAGGATCAATTGACAAAGGACCAGGAGTAAAACGTTTGAGTTCCTTGGATGATAAGATCCCACCCAAGTCACCCCGTCCACGCCGCAATATCTGGCTGTCACGCAGCCAGTCCGATATCTTCTCCCGCAAGCCCTCCAGGAAGATCAACGTGCAGGACCCCTACTACACACCCAGCAAAGGGTTAGGCCGGAAAGTGAATCCCTTCAGTGCCCGCGAGGACCTCAAGGGGGGAAAGATCAAATTCTTTGACATGCCAAGCAAGTCTGTGATTTCCCTGGTGTTTGACTTGCACTCTCCAGAGGCAGGTGGAGGCCTGAAAGCCAGCCAGTCCCAGTTCCGGCAAGCGTACAGCACAGACTGGCAAGACCTTTCCCTTCTTCCTGGGAGGAGATGCAGATCGCTTCCACTCTCCCCTGAATTACCACACAAGGAATATGGCCTCTTTGGGGGACTGTCTTCAACTGTGGGCAGGTGTGACCCAGCCCAGTTAGGTGCAGAGGTTCGGCAAAAACTCTTGAGTAGCACTAAATACGGTGTGTCAGAGATTCCCCCCTTTCATGCCAAGCCTCACAGAACAGAGTTTCTTCTTGCACCAGGACAAGAAGAGGATATGGACTGTTCAGATGGGCCAGTGGCCCAGGAGGAAAATGGGTTTTGCCCTGTTGAGAACACACGTGGAGATCCAGCATGTGATCAACCATTAGTGCTGGCCCAGTCTGGGTCACTATCTTACAAAAAGCTCCCAGCTGAGAATTCAGTGAACTCTGAGGGACGTGGCTCACCACAAGTCTTTGCAGGAGGTCCCCCTTCTGAAGAGATGGAGGTAGAAGATGACCTACTGAAAATTACTGTGTTAGAGTCTACAAAGCCTCTGTTCAGTGTTAGTCCTCCCACTGAGCTGAAGAGAGAGGCATGGCCCTTCAGGGAGCAGGATGGGGACAGTCCTGCCCTGTTGTCTCAGACCTCCTCCAACATCTCAGCAAGTGGCAGCACAAAGTCAGCTTGTGACATATGAAGAGAGGGCTCAAACTGAATGTGTCCTTGAGTTGTTCCCAGCTGCTTAAACGAAGTTTTCCTGCAGTGCTGGGCTTCACATCTGAGAGACTCAACAAGCTGGCTGGAAGACAGATAGCTGCAGACAGTGTCTGAAGAGACTGATTATTTTATAAAACTTTATTTCAAATTGTGCTTATTCCCTTTCCTGATTTGAATTAGGAGGGGGAACTACTCCAGCCAGAATGGCCACATGGGTCCCACAGTCCTTCCTGGAGGCAGCAGCCAGAGCAGGCACCATTAAACAGTTCGACCTGGATTTCCAGCATGGGGCATTTTAAGGTCTTAAGCTCCATGTAGAGTAGAAAGAATGACCCTTAGATTTTTCCCTCTTCCTCTAACTGAACATCTGCTCTAAGCCACTGCATATTTTTCATTAACATTCTGTATCAGTGCACCTGAGTCAGAGCCTCTGTTTCAGAAACAGGCACAGAAGTCTTTCCGAGCTATGTTGAGCAGATAGGAATGCTCTCTAGTCCCAGAGCTGCTTTGAATGCTGTTGTAGCATTAAACAAGCTCTTCTTTCAAAAGCAGCAAAAACAAAACCCCTCATGCTGGTCACAATCTGCAGGCTGAGTCACATGACAAGTACTTTGTGATTAACAAGGAGAATCTGTTCCCTGGTTTCCTTTTCCCTTGGGATTTAGTAATGATGTTTAATACATTTGTGCGGGGAAGCTCGCTTCCTTGTACAGCTCTTTATGTACCTCAGCCCAAATGTGGGGGAAGATTTGCCCAGGGCACAGAGAAGCATATTCCAGGCATTGCCACTTCTGGGCTTCTGAAGAAGCTGCTCCTGAAAGTACCAGCTGTACTGAGCTCTTGGCAGGGGGTGGGCCCTAATCTCTGAAGAGCTGAGTGGACATCATGATCTGTTTCTGTAGAATAGTTAAATACAGTAGCTACATCACAATTGACTATTATCATTAAGCTAGAAGGGTCACATTTACCTCCCTCTCTGGTACAATATCCCATCTCACTGATTTCACTGCAGTAATGATGGCTCCTCACTAGCTGGCTTGACAGAGGACAGGAATCTCTGCTGAGAGGAAGTTGCCAGCAGTGTTGTAGCCCCACAAGTGCTCTTGGAGAGGACAAACTCACAGTTTGAATTGTCAAACTGAAGAAAATTAGCTTGTCCTAAATTTAATTTTTGTTTCCTCTACAGAAAGAAGCTGCTGTCTTTATTGGTTTCTCCTGTTACTGAATAGGATGGGGTTTTTTTGGGTGTGTATTTTTGGTTTTGTTTTTTTTGGGTTTTTTTTTTTTTTTTTTTTTTCCCTTGACCAGTGAGTACCTGTGAAAGAAGCAGCAGCAACATGAGCTTTAATGCTGCTTGCTGGAACCAGCATCAGCAATCCCTGCTCTGGGATGAAATGTCTGGGAAAGCTCATTCTGTGACATTTGTGCAACATCTTGCCCTTTTCCACTATCATCCCAAAAATCATGGGATTTTAAAAATTTTATTTTATGGGGTTTTTTAACCTATATTCATTCGTAAGTGAGGTAAACATTGCACACCTGCTGAGCAGATGGTGATGCAGAGGAGTCCAGATTTTCATCCAGGTAGCCTGTTACACTCTTCCTGCTCTCTTGTAAGGCTGGATACTGTAAGCTAGTCTCTGATGGAAGCCAGACTATTTCTACTCTTCTCCCACCTCAAAGAAAGGATGGAGTTTTCTTGGCTGGGATGTGTATCTTTCCTGAGGTGGAGGTAGCTATTCTATGAGTTCCAGCTGTGACTTCCTCTAGTGAAGTGTGTGTTAACCTGAGCAGTTCTCTTTGCAGTGGGCTCTTCTCTCACCTCAAAGAAAGGATGGAGTTCTTTCTTGGCTGGGATGTGTATCTTTCCTGAGGTGGAGGTAGCTATTCTATGAGTTCCAGCTGTGACTTCCTCTAGTGAAGTGTGTGTTAACCTGAGCAGTTCTCTTTGCAGTGGCTGTTGTGAATGAAAGGAGAAGCCCAGTGTTGCTGAGGTATTTAATACAGTCCATGCTAGATTAGGCAGCTGTTGGCAGCTTGAAAGAGAAAATGCCTGTGCTCACTAAGATCACCCTTTTGGCCCTCACCTCTCTGCCTCTTGAAGGTGCTGATCTGCAGAGTAGTCTCTGTCTTCTATATTGTGTCTGCAGAGTGCAGAGCAGCTTGTATGGCTGCCACTGTGCGTGTAACTTTGAGGACAGAGAAACACCAGAACACAGTTGCCTGCCTGGTGCCCGCTTGCCTTTTTTTTTTTTAATTTTAAAATATTTTTATCTTTGCTACAACTTTATCTTCTGGGAGGGAAACCATGAGCACCAGCTTCTGTTGTCACAAGATGCATCTAGGTGTGTGACTTCAGACAAACAAGCAATAATGAGTAGTTTACTTTTGGGTGAGCAGGCTGAGGGAAGCTGTGCAGCAGCCTGACCAGAGAGCACACGCACACCTCTGGCTGCCCTGGGGCCCCCGAGGGCGAGCCCTGGCTCTCAGTGCTGACACCCCATCATGAAGCCTCTTGCCCTCCCTGACACTGACTGTGAGCTTGAGCAGTCAGTGGGGTACCCCGGGGCAGCCACTGCAGTGACCTCACTGTTCCCTTACACTGCTGTCTTTACCACGTTTCCCTCCCCTGCTCTTACAAAGCAGCAGAGCTAAAATTTTATTTCCTTAAATGTCCGCTCTAAGCACAACCAATTGACATGCATTGGGCACAACTATCAACATTTCTGGCTCTTGGTACTGAGGTGATGTCAGAAACAGAAATGCCAAGGAGTAGCAGCTCAGGCCTTTCCTGGATTGGTCTGCATGGGAAGAGGCACACGTGTGAAACCAGAGTAAAAGGTCATTTTAAAAATTGCAGAGTGGTTGCTGCAACCCAGTGTTTCCAAGGATCCAGCTGGAAGTCACAACATCTCATCCCTTTGGCTGTATAAAGCTGAATCTAGGCTGCACCTAGTAATTCCTAGGTTTTGTGCCTACTGAGGTTGCTTTTCTACAGAGGGCCATTTTCTGACAGCTACTGATAAACATGAATTTGAACACATGGTCAGCAAGCTCCTTCTTTTAGAGTGATGTGACAAAGTTTTATCGTGATTGGGTTTTACCGTGATTTTGACTTTACAGGAGCAGTTCTTGCTCTTTTAAAGTACTTTCTACACATTGTACACATCTCCCTGAAGAGATCAAAGATGTTTTTAATTCACTTTAAATCTATGTTGAGTTCAACTAAATGTCTGTTATAAGCTATTTCTGTTGTGGCTGCAGGTTGATAAAATGCAGCCAAGAGAATGCATGTGAATTGCTGCCCCTCAAAAGCAGCACAGCCAAGGGGCTGTAGCAGACTTGTACTCGTTGGAGAGGCATTGATGTATTATGTGTAACAGAACGTTGGTATTTTTTGCCAGTACAACTAAAGACACTTGAATAATTCCTGTTTGCACTTAATGCTATTGTTTATATTGCATGTCACTACATTTCTATGCAAAACAAATAACCTTTTTTTTTTGGGAGGAGGGGCAGCCAGATATTTGATTAAGTATAAAGATCTTTGCGAGATGATCTATTTTCGTATTTATGAAGGAGTTTTACGTCTTAATATTTTGCAGTCTGTAAATAGCTGAACTTGTAATTAAAGGCTTAGGAAGAAGTTTGTAGCCTGTGTATAATAGTAAGTTAACACTGCCAGAAGAAAAATCTTTGCAAAACAACTTTTCTAATATTGTGGATATTTATGAATATGTAAAGAAAGCACGTCTTGTTTTTATGTTGATTGACCTTCTGACTTTTTTGAACTATAGAAATGGTGTATGTTTTATTGGAACTGCAATAAGAAGTAACCAAAGATGAATCCACTTAAATATTTTCATAATTTTTTTCTTGGTCAGGTTTTGTAAACTTTCCCAACTTGCTTTCAAAATAAAAATGAAATCAAGGCCTGAATCTTGTGATTAAGAGGACAACTGCTTTAAGTTAAAAAAGCTGGCTTGAATGCTTACTTAAAATAGAAATGCCATTAATATCTGGATTGAGATTGTATTTGCTATTACTCAGTGCTGAGTTATACCCAAGGAAAACTCATCCTCAGTAACGTTATTTCTCTCCTGCATCTCATTGAAGAGTTCCACTACTGAATCCATGAGACTCAAGGATATTTTTTTCTGCTCTGTGCTACAGTGCTCTGAAGGGTAGGCTGTATCTCGTGAGCTACCCGATAAGATGGCTTTTGATAGCAGCCTGCAGGGTGCTTGCCATGGTGGCTGCTCTGTTCTAGCCCTAATTAGCTTCAGCAGCACAGGAAGCTGTGCAGTTTCTCAGGATCACATAACTGGCTTTCAGCCCCACTGCCTCTCCCCTTGGAACAAGTCTGAAGACCTGCTATGGCTTGGTTCTGCATGCAGTTAGCTGGCTCTAGAATCAGCACATTCCCATGGGCGAGGAGTTTTCTCCTTCCCTTCTCTCCTGTAGGGGCAAAGGTCTCATCTGTGCATGCTCTAACCAAAGGTGCATTTCCCCTCCTTCAGCCTCATCCCTGGCTTCACATTCCAGCATGCTACTAAGGAACACGGGCAACTCCAACTGAGAGCAATTTAATCGGTCAGATGGTAAAACACAAATAAGAATATGAAACCTGCTCCCTTCTTGGCAAGTTCTTGATGGACGAAAGAACTCCAAAACTTGGAGGAGACAAAAAAAAGCACAGTTCAGTGAGGAGTGCTGTAGCTTTATGCACTGTCCCAGGCCAACTTTATCTTCTCGCTGTGAGCTTTGGAAGATTTAGAAAACAAGCTCTTCACTATTTGCAGTGGCACTGATTTCCCACTGAGGTACAGTTTATTATGGCAGTCTGGCAACCAGGGCCCTGCACTGGTGTCTGTATTTTTCCCTTGCTTGAGCATCCAGACATAAGCCATGATATAGCCAGTCATGAAGGCATCAAAGCCGGCTCGGTGTGTGCCCCCCTGTGAGGGAGGGCCATGGCTTTCCTTTTCCTTTCCTGCTTCAGTCTCACGGGGGGCTGGGTGACTGTCTGAGCCCAACCCAGCCTTTGACTTCTCCACTTGGTCACTGTCAGAGGCATTTCCCTTGGCAGAAGGGCTCTGGGCAGCTGCTCCCTGGTCAGTTCTTTCAGTGCTCCCCAGACTCTCTTCCCATTGTGTGCTGGTGTCTGAGCCGACCTCCGTTTCCATGTCCATGGAGATCTCCAGTGGCCTGCTCTCCCCGTTGGGTGCAATCTCTGCCAGCTCTGCAGCAGCTGCAGGCTCATAGCAGCTCTGCTTCCGCGGTGGTCCCTCCTCCCCGTTCTGAGCCTGCTCCACGCTGTCCCCTGTGCTCTCCTGTTGGAATGCTGCTACGAGCACTTTCATGTTCTTCCGATGCTTCCATCTGTGCTTCCGTTTCTTCCTCTTCTCCCAAAGCTTGTCGTCCTCGTCAATGATGAGGTCGATGTTATGAGACTCTGGACACTTCACCCCTTTTGGACACCACCCATAGGCCTAGGGAGAAAGAGAGAGGGGTCTGCAGCCTCCATCTTACTGCTTAGAGCAGCAATCACCACAATGTGGAGTGGAGCTAATGATTCCCTTCCACTGAGGGCTTGTGAGGCTGGAGCAGGAACAGAGTCCAGTTAGAGCCCCCCAGCACACGGGAAAGGTGCTGACACACTGTACTGGGTGCAGCACACAGCACATCAGCAGAGGCCAAGGAAGGTGGGTTTGTTCTGCCTGGAAAAAACAAGGCTAAGTGGAGGGAGTATCTAGTTGGTGTTTGCAAGTTCCTGCAGCAGAGGTTATGGGCAAGATGGAGCTAAACTCTTGTCAGAGCACAGGGAGAGGGAACCCGGTAACAGTCAGGGGAAATTATGACTAGAAATGCAGGAAAACATTTTTCATGTAGTGGTCAAGCACTGGAACAGGGACCTGGAGTTGTTTTTTAATCTCTGTCCTTACACAATTAAAAAATTCACGAAACAAGGCTCTGAGCAACACTGAGGTCGTGGTTGGAGAAACTTCCAGAGACATCCCTAACTTATGTTGTGTGACAGAATGTACAACAGGTGGAAGAGCTCCTTTTCTCCATGAAGCACCTGAAGCCAGCTATGATCTGACCAGATGGGCTCTTTGCTGCTGTAGCTGCACTAGGACCTTGTGGAGCTCCTGTGGACCACCCTGTGCTACAGTGCCAGAAGCTGCAGACAGGTAATAATTTTTTATACCTAATGAAAATAAAGGGAAGGGTAGAGGTGGTACTTCTGTCTTGTAGGACAAGCCAAACTAACAGAACTTGCAGCCTCCCCAAGACAGCTGGGGAGGATGCTGTAACTCATACTGGGGATACTGTAACTCATCCTGTCCCACTGTTTAGGGCCACAGACTCTGCTGGAATCCTCCTAATGAAGCCTGTAGGATTCCCAACCTCGAAGGAGAGCACATTACTGCCCTGTCTGCCATGAAGCCACCTGAAGCCTGAAAATGTTCCTTGTACTGTAAAGCAGGTGAGGGGGAGTTGCCAGGTGCTTTCCTGCAACTTCTGGCTCGGGCCACGTGTGGCCCTTTCCACGGAGCCAGGAAGGGAGCAGGGATTTGCGTTCCTTACCGAAAATTTCTCACAGACAGGCACCTTGTTCCCCGCTGCAGCACTGTGGCTGTCCTCTTCCAGCGAGCAGCAGCGGTAGTCGATGTAGCGGGACACGTTGGCAGGGTAACTGCAGAACTCCACCGTGAGGTGCTGCCCGCTCGAGTCCCTCAGCTTGCAGTTCTCCCGCTTGCTGGAACAGGAGGAGCACAGTTACTGTGGGGTGGGACCAGGGCACGGAGCACACACTGCTCTCCACCAGCTCTCCATGACTTTCCTGCTCTTGAGCTCCAGCCCCAGATGCTGGAAAGGAATTCAATCCCAGGAGAGCAGCTTTAGTAAGTAGTTGTTTCTGTGCTGATTCAAAGGGTTTTTTTCTTATGCTGACATAGAGGAAGGGAAAGCAGCATCTCTGGTGAAGTTACAGGAGAAGGGGTGCACAGTTTGTTCTTTTAATTATAAAGGGCATTAAGATATGTTTGTCTTCACAATGGTAATGGACAAGGAAATGACACCCCAAAATGAGGTCCTGTGCAGACCATCCAGCAGTCATCATCCAGGCAGGCTGAACCTGGGCAATGCAGGCAAAAAGGAAGGGTTTTCATTTCATGGAAAAAAATCTGATCTCTGTTTTGTCCCAAGAGCTGGTTAAAAGGCCAAAACCTTTGGAAGCTCTACCTAATGAGAACTTGGGTTAAAACATTTAAGACGTCAGCTTAGAAAGTTATTTTTATCTTGTCAAAACAAAGCACTCTCATGTTTTGAGAACAGCCATCTTGAATGTTTTCAGACCTGTCAAAGTGGCATTTCCTGAGATAAAACAATCACAAAAAATACCATTTCTCCTCAAAACGGAGCATGACTTGAGCTTTATGGAGATCCCAGGGGCTTTATCACTGCCAGGGGCTTGTTTAGATTGTGTGGGGCCTGCAGAATGTGGGGCCAGACTGCAAATCACAGACTTGTGTCCTGAACAAGAGCACAACCCTTGCCTGGAAGGAAGTGATGGGAGTCAGAGTGAGCCATGGGCATCACGTGTGCAGGGCATGTGACAGAGCTGGTCAGTGTCAAGGAGTGCAGGGAGCACCCACCCTTTAACTGCAGTGTCCCTCACAAAACAGAGTCATAATTAGCAGACCTGCAGGACAGCCCTGGTTTGTTTTCTGTGTGATTTCCTGCCCTGTGGCACTGCTGGCCCAGAGCCAGGCAGTGACCCAATTAGATCTCAGATCAGGCCACTGTGCTCAGTCCTCTACTGGCAGCAGTTCTGAAGTTCTCTTTCAGCTGCTGCCCACCAAACAGGTATGGCCTGTTAAAAGACAAACGTTCTAGAAACAGCAAAAGCACAGGGCAGAGTCACCTGAAAAGCACCTTCAGTCAGTGGGACAGTGCAAGGACACAGCCCCCATGCCTGGAAAGACAAACACTGACCCTCTGTTTGCCCCTCCTGCTGTGAGTAGCAGCGTGCTGCTCACCACTTCTTGTAGGCGTACTCCAGGTAGGAGGCCACGAAGCGCGTCTCGAACTCCGAGGCGTACTTGGTGTCGTAGATTCCCGCCGGGAACATCTCGGACAGGTCGGCGGTGAAGGTGCCCAGGCTGTCGGGGAGGTGAGCGTAGAAACACTGGTACAGGAACACCAGGTCGATGAGGCCGTTGTGCAGGATCAGCGGCTTCCTGGCCCGGATGAGCTCCAGGAACAGCGTCCGAACGCTCAGGCTCTGGCTCTCGTTGCCCTGCAGGAGGAGGGATCAGGCAGTGAGCCGGCCCCCGGCTGGCTGTCACCCTGGAGAGCCCTCTGAACAGAGGCACAAACGTCTGGAAAAGCAACTGCAGCGAGCGGGTTGAGAGCAGCAGGAGGTGAAAGGGATAATGCTGCAGGCAGGACCCCAGGCAGCAGCGGGGGAAGCCAGCACGCTCCCAGCACGCTGAGCACAGCAGGCACAGGTGTCTGAGAGGGACTGCTCTGTACCTTGTCGTTGCCCTTGTGGTAGGGGATGCCCTGCGAGTACTGCTTGTTGAAGTCGAAGCCGTGCTGCACCAGGAACTGCACTGACTGCGGCTCAACCACGTAATCCTCGGTGCAGAGCAGCGTGAGGTTGTAGATCTGGCACAGGTACGTGTTCTCGGACTGCAGAGAGCGTGCAAAGAACCCGGGCACTCCTGTCACAGGGAGCTGCCGCGACAGTTCCCCGGGGGATCCCATCTCCCAGCGCCTCCCGGGGCCGACCCGGACAAAACGGCCGCCCCGCGGATCGCGCACGCACCTTCTCCGGGAGCTGCTTGAAGCAGGCGACGCCGAGGGACAGCACGGAGCGCGTCCTGGCGGCGCTGCAGACGGCCTTGTAGCGCTCCTCGATGCACCTGGCCGCGGCACAACGGGCCATCAGCGGGCTGCCCGCGCCCCGGGACGGGGCACGGCGCAGCCGGTACCGAGAACCGCCCCCCGCCCCACCGGCACTCACGGGCTCAGCAGCGACTTCCGGGCGCCCAGGCCGCTCAGCTCCTGCGGGGCGACAGACACCGTCAGCGGCTCCCGGCGCCGGCCGCGCCCCTCCCCGCCGCCCCCCCGCGCCTCACCGTGTCCACGGCCACGAAGGTGGCGGAGCGCAGCGCCAGCACCATGGACGGCCACAGCTCCGCCAGGTTGTCGCTCTGCACGTCCACCACCGGCACCCAGCGCCGCCCGCCCTCGCGGCCGGCCCGGCTCCTGCCGGCCCCGGTGGGGTTTTTTACCGTTCTCAAAATCCGTTTTCAACCGAAATTTGGAATTAACTCAACAGGCGTTTAGCTGGAACAGCTCCTTCGGGTCCTTCCCGAGCGGCCGCTCGGACCGGCGGGAGCAGGGGCGGGCCCCTTTTGCTCCCGGCTTGCTGATTGGCTCCAGCGCGCCGGTAGGCCCCGCCCCTCGCCGCTGCGTTCCGGGGAAGGGCGGCTACGAGCCCGCTCCGCGCGCTTCCCTTCGATTGGCTGGCGTGCGGCGGTGGGCGTGTCCGCCCGCTCTGATTGGCTGTCGTGCGGGGGTGGGGCGGGGCGCGGTGTCCCGGGAAAGCGGCGGCGGGAGCGGCGCCATGGGCCCCGCGCGGGGCCGGGCGGGAGCGGCGGGAGCGGCCGGGGCGGCCCCGCCCCAGGGGCGGAGCGGGAAGCGCGCGTCGCCCCGCGGAGGTGCCCGGCAGCGGGAGGGCTGGGGGAGCGTGGGGTGCTCTCTCCGCGGCACGGAGCGCCAGCCCGGGCAGTCTCCGGTGCTGGCTCCTCGTGAAGCCCGGTACTCGGTGCGCGTCCGCCCGGCAGCGGCTCGGTCGGGCTCCCGCCTCTGCTGCGGTTGAGCCCCGCACCCTTCGCCGTGCCCCGCTGAGCTGGCGCCGCTCTCCCGGCAGGGGCCCCGGCGGCAGCGCCCGCCCGGCACCTCTTCAGCGACCCCGCTGAGGTGCAGGCCCTGCGCCGGAATCTGCTCGCCTGGTACGACCGATGCAAGCGGGACCTTCCCTGGAGGGCTCTGGTAAGGGGAGACATCGGGAAGAGGGCATGGGGAACGGCTTCCTCTGCCTTAAGGAGCCTGGCTGATGTGACCGTGGTGTTTCTCCCGGTCATGCGTGGAAATGCTCCCAGCTAGTGGCTGTCTTGTGCTGGGTGGTCTGGAGCCAGCCCTAGGTGTGAAGAGTAAAAGCAGGGCACGCTTCTGAGATGTAACCTTTAAGAGGAGTACTTATCTCTGGCAAGGTTAGTCTAGCTGTGTTTAATCCTGTTTTGTTCCTGCCTCTATGATACCCTGAAGCAGCGAGTGCTGCATGGAGAAGGTTTCCCATGTATTTGTTTTACGCCTCCTGGACGTTTTTTTAGAGCTCCTGCCTGTGGTGTGCTCAGCCTGGCAGCAGTGAGTCATTGTGGTGCTGAGTGTGGGCATCAGCTTTAAAGCAATGTTTGAATGGTGGGAACTGCACAGTCCCTCTGGGGGATTTACATCTGCCTCCAGTTGCTTCCTATGCAGGCGGGCTCGGGTATGGGATAGCTCTCTGTGGGATTTTTAACCTCCTAAGTGACTCTCCATGTGAGATTTCATCAGCAAGAAGGTGCTTTGGCTGTCACTTGATTAACCCAAACTCAGAACTTCTGAGTGCTTGGGCGAAATTTTTTTTTTTAATTTCAGATTCCATTGCAGTGATCAGAACACACCATGCATTGTTGTATTTTACACACAGGTCCCCTCTGCAGTGGGCTCCTGTGTCACCTTGTTTCTCACGCTTCATCTTCTTCCCCTTCCAGGCAGCGACGGAGCCGGACGCCGACAGACGGGGATATGCAGGTGAGGAGCAAGGACTGGCTGTGTCAGGCGTGGCTTTGTGTGCCATCCTTGGAACAAGCTGCCTGAGGTGGCCGTGAGAGCCGCTGATTCCCCTTGCAGGGCACTGGGGGGTTGGAGAGCCCACGGAGCTCCTGTGGGGCAGGTGTGGGGTGTCCCATGAGCTGGGTGCTGTGCAGGGTTTGTAGCCAGTGCTGAGGTGGCCACAGCACGAGGTGTGGGTGGCGTTGGTGCCTCTGCTGTGACCCCTGCCCTGCTCCCTGCAGTGTGGGTGTCCGAGATCATGCTCCAGCAGACACAGGTGGCTACAGTGATCGACTACTACACGCGCTGGATGCAGGTGACTGCTCCTTGCACAGTCCTGTGCCCACAGGCTGCCCCTTTTGGAGACCTTGTTCATGCCCAGTGGCAGAACTCTGCTTGTCCCTGACTTGTCCCTTTCCCCCTGTCCTGCAGAAGTGGCCGACTCTGCAGGCTCTGGCACAGGCATCCCTGGAGGTGAGCATCGCTGGCACCGGGTGCTCTCCCTGCCCTGTGGCTCTCCATTAACACTGTGCTGTGTCTCTGGGAGCAGGAGGTGAACCAGCTCTGGGCTGGCCTTGGCTACTACTCCAGAGGGAAGCGTCTGCAGGAAGGAGCAAGGAAGGTGCTGGAGTGGGGGGAAGGGGCATTTCTGAAGCCCTGTGTGGCTGCTGGGCCTGGCTGCCCTGCCTGGCTGGGGCTGTGCTGCTGGCACGAGGCTGCAGAGGCTGGGATCCCATCTTCCCACGGGCAGAATGGGTTCCTTGCACACGCCCACCCCAGCTGCCTCTCTGAGCTTGGCCCCCTCCCTGCCAGGTGGTGTCTGAGCTGGCTGGCCACATGCCCAGGACGGCTGAGGCCCTGCAGAAGCTGCTGCCGGGCGTGGGCCGGTACACGGCGGGAGCCATCGCGTCCATCTCCTACGGGCAGGTGAGAGCTGGTGACAGCGGGCACGTCTGCCCCTCGGCTGCCCAGCCCCACTCCTGACAGCTCCTGCTGCTGGGTCTCACAAGCCAAGGGCTCCCCAGGGTTGTGCTTGGCTCTCCCTCCACTTTGGGAAGCATCACAGCCCCCACCCAGCTTGACCTGTGGGTTGGCCTTGTATGTGTCCCTCTCCATCCTGGGAGCATCCCAGCTCCCTTCTTTGTCCGGAGCACATCCCAGCATGGTAATGGCAGCTCCTGGTGCCAGGCTACAGGAGTTGTGGATGGGAATGTGACCCGGGTCCTGTGCCGCCTGCGGTGCGTCGGTGCCGACTCCAGCAGCCCGGCTGTCATCGACCGGCTCTGGTAAGGGGAGTGCTCTGTCTCTGGAGCTGTGGCTAAAGGAGGATCACCCAGGAGCTGTGGGGAGCTGAGCCTGTGAAGGGAGGCAGGTGTGGAGTATGGGAACTCTTGGGAAGCTGGTGCTGCTGGGAGTAGTGGTGAAAGGATTGTGTTGCCTGTGCCCAACTAGGAGCTTCCCCCGACAGGCAGGAGGCAGGCAAAGGTCCTGGCATGCTCTCCCTAGAAATCCCTGTGCCTCTCACTGCCATTTCTCCAGGGACATGGCCAATGTCCTGGTGGACAGGAGTCGCCCAGGGGATTTTAACCAAGCCTTGATGGAGCTGGGAGCAACTGTGTGTGTGCCCAAATCCCCACTGTGCGGGGAGTGCCCGGTGAAGCAGCACTGCCAAGCATGGCGCAGAGTAAGTGTGACCCTGAGGGTTTGCGTGCCTGGGGACAAAGTGGGCTGGCGGATGAGCCTGTCCTCACTTCTGTCTGCCCTTGCAGGTGGAGAAGGAGCTGGCCTTCGCCTCTCAGAAGCTGCTTGGAAAAGCCCCCCCAGTGCCTGATGTTGAGGACTGTGGTAAGCATGAGGAGAGATCCCTGTTGTGGCTCCGGGTCTGAGCCCTGCAGCAACTGTCACACTGGTGTTTGCAGGTGTTGGGGACTGTCCCCTGTGCCCCCCAGCCACGGAGCCGTGGGACAGCAGCCTGGGGGTGACCAACTTTCCCCGGAAAGCAGCGAAGAAGCCGCCGCGGGCGATGCGGACGGCCACGTGTGTGCTGGAGCGGAGGGGCTGCCACGGGGCCCCAGAATACCTCATTGTGCAGAGACCCAGCTCGGGTAATGGGGCTGGGAAGGGCAGGGATAAGGCACCACACAGTGCCTTCCCACCTCATGAGGGACAGAGAGAGCAGCTTTGGTTGCTGGGGTGGGGAAAGGAGCCCTTTGGGGCTGTGATGAGGCTCAGTGTCCCTGGATGTGTCCCTTGCTGTCTCATATTTCTGTCATGCCTCCTTCCCAGGTCTCCTGGCTGGACTCTGGGAGTTCCCAAGTCTCCCACTGGCTCAAGATCTGCAGGAGGAAAAGGAGAGGGAGGAGCTGGCTGATCACCTCCAGGCCTGGATAGGGCGGCCTGTGGCAGCAGCAGGCCTGCAGTTTATTGGAGAGGTGAGCCTGGAGCTGGAGGGATGCAGTGAGTCCCCTGTGCTCAGCCATGGGGATGTAGCACACAGAAGAAAAGTCTCCCTTTCCCACTGTCAGCCCTCCCAAGCTCTGCCACTGCTCAGGACCCTGGCAGGCTCAGTCCACTTGGCATCCCCCAGTGTCTGCCAGCTGCCTGTCTCATGTGTATTTCCATCCCCTCACAGGTCATCCACGTCTTCTCCCACATCCACCAGACATATGTGGTCTACTCCCTGCACCTAGATGGGGATGTGACCCTGGACCCTGCCTTGTCCCCGTCCCGCTGGGTGACAGAGGATGAGTTCCATACCTCGGCTGTGTCCACAGCCATGAAGAAGGTATGGGGGGCCCTTGGACCTTTCCTCCCTTGCCTCAATTATCTTGGGAAAACCCCTGGCATTCCCTGGGCTGTCCCAGCTGCTGTTCAGCTCTGGGCTCTCTTGTTCTTCCTTCAGGTGCTGAAAGCTCACGAGAAGCAGCGCAGGAAGGAGAGCAGCCCTGTCAAGGTGAGCAGTGCTCCAGGGTGCCTGGGGCCCAGTGCTGTGGGACAGCCTCTGGTGCGCTGTGCTGAAGGTGCCCTGGAGCTTGGGATCAGGCCAAGGAGCATCCCCAGCCTGTGGCAGGGGAACTTGCCTGACTGGCACTGTCCCTGGGTGTCCCCAGTTCCCAGGGGGATCCCTGGAATCTGTGGGGGGTCTGGTTGAGCCCTGCTGTGTCTCCTGCAGGGCTCCAAGCGGAAGCGGGGGGCAAAGGCACAGGGAGCAGGCAGCCCCTGCCCTGGGACACAGCTCTCCATCCACGCCTTTCTCCGGGCCCCGACGGGCCCATGAGGCACTGACCTTTAGCCTGTGGCAGGGGAACTTGCCTGACGGGATGTCCCCAGTTCCCAGGGGGATCCCTGGAGCCTGTGGGGGGTCTGGTTGAGCCCTGCTGTGTCTCCTGCAGGGCTCCAAGCGGAAGCAGGGGGCAAAGGCACAGGGAGCAGGCAGCCCCTGCCCTGGGACACAGCTCTCCATCCACGCCTTTCTCCGGGCCCCGACGGGCCCATGAGGCACTGACCTTCCTTGTGTGAGACACCAGAGCCCCTCGCTGGGCTCAGTCCTGCCCGGGGCCTGGCAGTGCTGTCCCTGTGCTGTAGCAAGCCCAGGACATGGCACTACAATGGTCTCACTCTTCCTTTCCCCTGCCTCCCCTGTGGTTGTGCCTGGATGTGGCCACTGGTCCTGATGTAATTCTGGAGCCAGACTTGCCATCCCTCCTTGGCTGGAGCCCTCCTGGGGCTACTCAGCCCCATACTGTCACCACTTTGGCACTGGGGACTCAGGGCAGCAGGGGTTTCTCTGCAGCAGTGGGAGCCACATGGCTCCTGCAGCCCTGTCCCCTGCCTGCATCTCATGCCCCAGCCAGTGACTGGGGATGCTGCTGTACCCTCCCTTGTTTTTACTGGACCTGAAAATAAATCTTAAGTTTGTGGGGTTTTTTAAGTGACTGCCTATGTTGCACTGTGCTAAGCTGGGGGTGTTGGGCCGCCTGTGGTACAATGTGAAGACAGCCAACAAGACCCTTAGATCTGGGCTGGGGAGAGCAGGGATTTCTTCATTAATGCACCCAGAGCCCCTTGGCTGAGCATTAACTGCATTAACTGACCCCAAATAAAGCACCAGAACACCCCTGCAAGGGCAGATATCAGCCCCCAAGGCTGTGCTGCTCCTGTCCACGGGCTGCTCCTCCCTGGGGCTGAACAACTGCCCCCAGGGCTTTTTCTAGGGTTTCATCCTACTTTTATAATTTTTTTATTGGGCTGTTCAGCACTCTTCATGCTGAGTGTGGTGCACCCTTGCAAATGCACAGTGCTGGGGGCTGGCAGGGACAGGGGACAGTCCTGGCGGGGTGCGAGGTGCAGTGATCTCAATTTTAGTGATACACCCAGTTTGAGTGATGGAAATGGCCATTTCATCCTCACCTGGCACTCAGCACATCTTAAACAGGAGGACTGAATACCCAAAGCAGTGCCTGTAAGTTAATTCTTTAATTGAGAGGAGGAAGAGGCCACGACTCGCCCTGCAGGGCTAGTCATGCTGTGGGTGGTAATGCCAGTAAGTGGCCATAATCCATGGCCTCTGGATTATGCACTCCCCTCAGGCAGCCCCTCATCTCTCTGTGTCTGGGGGTGTTTCTGTGCCAGCACACTCTTGGCCATGCTCCAGGCTCAAGTCTCAATAAATTAAGCTGAAACTAAGGCAGAAAGTTCCTTACATGTGGTTGATAAATTACTGGGAACCCAGGGCTGGGGAGCAATCCCACCCATCCTGGGGCATGCTCACACCCCTGCTGGACTCAGCCCTGAGCATCTTGCTCCCACACTGAGGTGGCTCTGGATTGATCTGGAGCCATCCCTTGGTCCCTGCTCACCTGGGCCATGCCAGGGATGGGATCTCTACGGTCCTTGCCCCGGGGCTGGACTGGAGAAGATGGGGAGCTGAGGGAGGAGGACTGCAGCGTTGCACTAGTGCTGCTGGTCCATGTAGACCTGCACGGCTTTCCACAGCGCCCGGATATTGCCTTCCCCGAAGCCGGGCGCTCCCCGACGGTCAATGAGCTCCAGGAAGAAGGTCTCCTCGGAGAAGATGGGATGGGTGAAGATCTGCATCAAATATTCCCGAGAGGGGCTCTCTGTGGCATCAGAGCCTGGCTGGCCCTTGTCCCCATGCACTGTAGTGTCCAGGAGGATGCCAAGCTCTGCCAGCTTGTGGGGGTCCTGCCCAGCTCCTCGGATCTCCTCTGCTTTGCCCCCCTGGCTGTAATACGTGGTGGGGGGTGTGAAGAACCGTGCCCCTCGCTGCTGCAGAGCCCTGGTCGTGCCGACAATGTCAGTGGTGCAGAGGCCAACATGCTGGATCCCAGCCCCACCGTGCTGCTCCAGGAACGTGTCAACCTGGTTGGTGCCGTTCTGGGAGAGGGACTCTGCAAAGACCAGTTTGCAGCCGTGGGCTGGGGTGCCCTGGGCGCCCTGCAGTGCGAGGAGCAGCATGCCCACCCCCTGCCCCCCCAGCACATACCCCTCAGCCGGCCTCTCCCGGGGGTTCAGCAGGAAGCGGTGGAAGCCGAAGCAGCGCTGGTACCAGTCCAGAGCCGCCCGGGCCCCGCCCCGGGGGCAGACGTACGTGATGTGGTCAAAGTGAGTGATCTTGATCCCATCCCCTGTGGCTGAGGGGGCTCCTTGGATGGGCTGGAAGCCAGGCAGGAAGAGTCCCCGGTAACAGGATCGGTCCAAAAGGGTGTGGCTGATGTTGCCCACGACAGAGCTCACCACGCCGTAGGTGACAGAACCGGCGTCATCACTCAGCTCAGTGGGGGGCACCAGCAAGGAGCACCCCTGGCTCTGCAGCCGCTTGCAGAGCCCCGGCACATCATCCACCTCGAAGCAGACGTTGGAGGCCGTGCCCAGGGTGGGCTGGGGATCTACGTCGTAGAGGAAGTCGCGGGATGAGGTGCCAGCAGGCGCCAGGCGCTCGTTGACGAGGAAGATGGCAGATTCCCGTCGCAAGGCCAGCTGCCGGACACGCGGCGTCTCCCGCACGGCCACTGGCTGGAAGCGAAAGGTGTTGGCCAGGTGCTGGCCCCAGCCCTGCCGGTAGGGCAGGTGGAGGGAGATGAAGCAGGGGCGGCTCAGCGAGGCTGCCATGGCTGGGCAGGCTGCGGGGAGGACGCAGGGGGTCAGGGGGGCTGCTGGCCCTGGCGAAAAGCCATTCCCCCCACCTTGCACAGAGCCCATCTGTGTTTGCAAGCACAGATGCGTGTGTGTGCAAACTCACACCTTTCCAATGTGTGATTTTAAATAAGTGGGTCTCAGGAGCCAGTTTGCACTGTGAAAGGGCACCCACCTTCGGGACCAGCTACAAAGAGCTGCCCAAGGATGCCAAGCCTTCCTGCCAACCTTCCACTCTGCTGCCCTGCCCCATGCTTGAGGTTCCAGAGCAGGAAAGCCCCAAGCCCTGGATGCAGCCCTGCAGCTCCCCTCTGGAGCAATATGTCCTTTGGGAGTGCCACAGGGAGGTCAGCGGGGATTCCCAGTGGAGGAGGTGTGCTGCACATGTAATCAAGATTATGGGGACAAGGGTTATGGTGGGAATGTCCTGTACCAGGAACATGGACTGGTAAACATGGAGCAACACACTGGTTACAACTAAAACGCTCCTGTGCTGCCCCAGTGCCTGTCAGGTGTGTCCCACCAGTGGAGGGGAGCAGTGGGGTCATGACAGGCTCATGTGCCCTTCCCCATCCCAACAAGGACAGCGCGGAGCCACCATGCTCTCCGCAACAGTCTGGGAACAATGACCTCGCCCTAGGGGAACAGAGGAGGGACACTTCGGGAAAGTGACTTTCCTCCCCACCCATCCAAATACCTGTGATGCTCAAGGGGGAAAAAGATCTGCCCAAACCCTCATCGGAATCCCCTCTCCAGAGCACCCACTGAGGCTTCCAGACCCCATGGCATGCACGAGCCGCTCTGGCCAGTCCTCACGGGTGTGCAGTGGGCTGGAGGCCCCACACCTGCTGAAATATTCCCTTTCACCCGCCCGCTTGAAGGGGCTGCATGCACCGAGCTCCTTCCCCCCGGCCCAGAGCCAGGGACCGCGTGGAGCCCGGCGCGCACATGGGCAGGGGCCGGCGCTCCTTGCCTGCGGCCCCGCTCCCGCGGCGCGCCGCGGCACCGGCCCGAGCCCCGCTCCGCTCCACGGCCCGGGCGCTGCGGGCCGGCCGCGGGAGCGCTCCCGGCGGGGCAGCCGGGGGATCGCCCCGGGAGAGACCGGGCCGGCACACGGAGAACGCGCTGCCCGCTGCGGGTGCCGCGGTTTGCGGGCGAAAAGCCGGCCAGGCTGAAAGCCGCGGGCACCGCGGCTCGGGAGGAGCCCAGGGGAAGCGCCTGGCAGGCCGTGGCCTGGGCTCCCTGCGGCACAGCTCGTGTCATTCCCTGCCAGCCCGAGTCCCAGGACATGAATGGGGAAACGTGTCCCTGCTCAGTGCTGGGGTACCCGGTGGGGACTTGGGGGGAACAGCGTGCGGGTGGGGGTGACAGCCCTGCGCAAAGTCGGGTGTCGGTCATGAGGGGCTGCTCACCAGCCCAGCCCATGGCCCCACATCCTTGCAGACACTGCTGGGCCCCTCAAGCCGCTCAGCAGCGATCCCCTCTCCCCCTGCTGTTTTCAGACGAATTCCCATTCTGTGTGTGCCTGGGATCATGTTCTGCCCCTGCTGTGACTGTGGCTGCTTGCCCTTCCCTGCCTTATCATGTTTTTGTACGGATCCCAGGTACAATAAACTAATCAAATATTTGCAGAGATGTCCTTGTGCTGCCAGAGTGGTGAGCTCCTCTTGTTTGGTTGGGGGGTGGACTCCAATGTCGCTGTGATTTCCCAAGGAAGCACCGACACTGCCACAGCCCCACCAGTATGGGGCCGGACAGGAGGCATGGAACTGGACACTGGGGAGTTTCTGTGGGGCCAAGCTTGGCCTGAGAACGGCCATGGGCACAACAGAACAGCCTGGCTTTTGAGGTGACACCCCACAGGGCAGGGAGCTCCAGCACCCCGGTGTGTATGGGAGGCACCACCTTTTTGTCTGCTGAGATGGCACTGGTGGCTCCTGTGGCACCTATGCAGGCATGGCGCTGTTGGAGGTCACCCCATCGTGGTGGTGCAACCCTTTGGTGTAAGCAGCGTCCTTGGCACGTCCCCGGGCCTCCTGTGCCTGCGAGGTTTGGAGCCGCTGTGTCCATCTCTCCGTGCAGCACCGCCTGTCACCCTGCGGCGTCAGCCCGGCACCAGGCACCGCTTTGCTCCGGCACGGCTTGGGCTGGGCTGGGCAGCAGCGCCCGAGCCCACATGGCACCGACGGGGACAGAGCCTGCCTTGTCGAGGCAGGCAGCGGTGGCCAGGGAGCAGTCTCCGCTCCAGCCAGGCTCTTCTCCTCCCTCCTGGGCGGGGAGAGTGGTCAGGAGATAAAAGGGGGACCAGGGCCAGCTGGAAGTTGCTGAAAGCTGCTGGGGCCCGGAGCGAGGGAGGACGGCAGCGAGGAGAAGTGCGGTATCAAGGGCTCGTTCTCGCGGGGAGAGGGCTGGGGAGTGGGGGCACATCCACCCTGACCAGATCCTGCAGCTCCCTGCTCCCTCCCCACACAATCCCCTCCAGACCCATATCCTCCCTCTTGCCCATTGAGTGTGCAGGGTATTAAAGGGATGGGGAATATCCTGGGGTGGGCAGAGTTAGGGGGCTGTTGGAGAACAGGGCTTCAGGCAGATGTTGGGAGACTCAAGGGTTTTAAAGGCTCTGTGTACCCCCAAAGCACTTTGTGAGGCACCAAGGACTCTCAAGGTGACCTGAAGGTGAAACCATCTCTGTCCCAGTGACTGCTCACTGGCAGCTGAGATGATGAGGGCTGTATCCCTGCTCTCTTCTGGGGCAAGGGCAGACCTCTCTCTGGGGCTGGATTTGTTTTGAGGGATCAAAAAATGGAGAAGGCTTGTGGGAGGAGGAGCACCTTCACTTCTTGAGATGTGGAGTGGGTGTTCACTGCCAGGGGAGAGCAGGATGCTGTGGCACTGGGTGCCCACACAGGAGCAAGGAGCCCAATTCCCCACCTCATCCCCTTTTCCTTGCCCCCTGCGATGGAGGTCCTGGCTCCCAGTGCCAGGATCAAGCTAACACTTGCCTGTCCTGGAGCTGGGTGCAGGGAGGTATTTTGGGGTTGCAGTGGATCTGGGAGGAGAGTAACACCCCGTGCCCATCTGCCAGGGCCGGGGTCCAGGATGGGGCTGCTGGTGCTGGCCCTGGCCACCTGGCTGGGGCTGGGGCTGGCCTCGGCCTCCGAGGAGACGGCCAACAGCAGCCGGATCTGCCAGGAGGCACCGGCCTGGACCATCAATGGCTCCAGCCCCATGGAGGGGGCGGCCGGGCAGGTGACGGTGGTGGCCCTGCTGAAGGCCAGCTGACAATTCTGCCTGAGGCAGGCCCACAGGTGAGCCGCGCTCCCCCTCCCCACGGCCACCCCCGCACCTCGGGGGCGGACGGCAGCCCCTGTCCCGGCAGCCCCTGCCCCGGCCGCCCCTCCCAGCGCCTCCTTGCCGCAGCCTCGGGGGCCTGCGGGAGCGGCTGGCCCGGCAGGGCATGGCCCAAGTCCGCTACATGATCGTCAACGAGAAGGCGCCGCTGTCCCGCGCCATGCTGCCCGAGCTGCGGCGCCATGCCCCGCCCGGCGTCCCCGTCTTCCAGCCGGAGCAGGAGGACCCTGACGTCTGGCAGGTCCTGGGGGGTGACAAGGACGACTTCCTTGTTTATGACCGGTGAGTGTCCCCCGACTGGCCTGAGGCTTTACTGGGCGTTACAGAGCGTTTGCTGGGCTTCCACAATCTCCTCTCGTGGCTGGGCTGAGGGGGTTCCAGACCCCGTCTGGAGCCAGGCCGTGACTTCTCCCCTCAGGTGTGGCCGCCTGGCTTTCCACATCCAGTTGCCCTTCAGCTTCCTCCACTTCCCCTATGTGGAGGCAGCCATCCGCTCCAGCCACGTCAAGGACTTCTGTGGCAACTGCTCCCTCTACCCCAACACTACCCAGGAGGTAAGAGCGGAACGCTCGCTGCAGCCGGGATCCCTGCTGTCCTTGGCACTGCACATCAGCAAAACCAATCTTATCGCCATGCTGGGGATGGGCTCTGGGTTGGCAGCTGCCCTCAGATGTGTTTCAGAGGGAAGGTGAGGGAAGGTCTGGAATAAGGGCACTTAAATAGGTCAGAGCTTTCCGGTTGAAAAGGAATTGACTAAAGGGGTCATATCCCATGTCTGGAAATGCTAACTAGGACTGTTCCCGTATAAGAAAGGGCAGGCAGTGGATGCAGAGGTGGCAAGCTCAGAGCAAAGAAAAGGCTGTAGCTCTGCGCTTGGCAGGAGATTACTCACTTCCCAGGAGAGAAATACATCCAGAAATACTGAATGCTAATTCCCATTTCTGGACCACAGGCAGCTTGAGCCAAGGCTTGTGCCCTATGTGCTCCAGCCTCTCTTGTCCTCCTGTGCCCTGGGCCAGGGCTGGAGAGCATTTGCTCTGACCCACAGTTTTCTGATTGATGAATGCTGCTCTGCCTTCTTCCCAGTTCAAGCTGTGCTCCCAGGCTTTCTGCTGGGTTCTGTGGGTGTTCCCATACCACGCCAGCCCTTGTGTTACTTTCCTCAGGCTAACAGCACCCTGGAGGGCCTTGCAACCCCGAGCTCCCTCCCTGAACACGAGGGGATGGAGTCAGAGACCCCCATCCACCACCACAAGCCCCTCCATCCTCACCACCATCATGAGGTCAACAGCGAGAGAGACACAAACCCAAATGAGGACCACAAACCTGCTACCCATGCCCACCACCACCACGGAGACCATGGCCAGCTCCACCACAAGGGGAAGAAGCAGAAGGAGGGGGATGAGGATTAAACCAGGATGGGCAGCCTTGCAGAACCCGGTAGTGTGCAGACGACCCCAACTCACTTCACAGAGGCATGGAAGGACTTGCTTTGGGCTGCTGGTCTCCAGCAGCGCTGGTTTAACAACTCCCTCCAGCAAACCCCCTGTGGGCTGCCCTCCTACGCTGTGATAGGGATGGAAATTCCCCTCGGACCCTGCTCAGTGCTGCATTTTCAGCCCCAGGGCTCAGTTCTGAGCCTTCATCTGCCGCTGCCTGCCTTTCTGTGCTCAATGAAGCCCGCTGTGCAAACCAGGAGGTCCCTGGTCACTGCTGGCTGACACTGCACAGAGCAGCCGGGCGGGGCTGGAGGGGCCAGAGCTGGGATGGGAGCGGCACTGCTGACATCCTCTGCCCATCCAGACACTTCTCGGTGTGCTGGGTTTCCTGGCCAGGGAGCGAGGGGAGGGACAGCGTGTGCCCCGCAGGACATGGTCCCAGGGGACTGAGGGCACGAGGAGCGGTGGGATGTCGCAGCTCCCCACGGTACCAAGCCCTGTACCCCGTGGCTGTCCCATCCCACAGACCGCGCACACGGGTATGTGCAGTGGGGCTGGGTGGCCGCAAGATGGTGGCCTTGTCCCCTCTTGGAGACCCAGGGGCTGTGTGCAATGGGCACAGCTCGGGGAGGACACGGTGAGGATCCGGAGGTCTGCCCTGCGGGTAAGCGAGGTGGGAGGGCAGCGTGGATGTCCGGAGTGCGAATAAAACCTCTGTGAAGTGACCACTGCTCCGTTTGGCCTCTGGTGGCCCCGGGAGGGGTCTTGCTCAGCACCGGTCTGTGCCCTGGGACAGGGAGGGACACAGGGCTGGATGCAGACCCCAAGGTGCAGCAGTCAGACATGGTTTACATCCCCCGAGCAGAAGTTGGAGGTAAAGGGGTTGAAGACTGAAGAGAAGTCTTCTTCAAGAGAAGACCCCATCTCCTACCTTCTGGCTGCCTCCCAGGGTGGGAGTCCAGGACATTAACACTGTGCTGCTTGGAGGATGTTTGGCTTGGCACCTCCATACCTGGCTTGTAGGTGTGATGTTGGGGTGCCTGCCCCAGGCTGCTGCTGGTCCCCACACGCAGTCCAAAGCCACCATGGGCATTTCTCCCCAGTGCCCAGACCAGTCCCCATTGCGGGCACATCGTGGGGCTCCCCACCCCAGGCAGTGGGTGCTGTGCCCCTGGCAGGCAGTCACACCTGCTTGCAGTTTGTGGTGCCCCAGGCCTGTCTCTGCCCTTTACTCCAGCTCCATCCATCATCCCACACAGCCCTACTTAGCACCTCTCCAGACCCTGCAGCCTGCGTGGGGAGCAGAGAGATGATTTTCTGCTCAGTGTTTTCATGGTGCTGTGTGCCAGTGCTGGGTTTCTGCACCCTGTCTCCGCTGGAGGATGCTCTGCACAGTGACTGGGACAAGAACCAGGGTGAAAAGGAGCTGTTCCTCACAGGGATGAGAGCAATGGGATCAGATGTGTCTTTCTTACCAGCCAGGCTTTCCCGTGGGGTGCTGGCTGAGACTCTGTTCCCCCTCCTCCATCTCTCCTCCCCCTTCCTCCTCTACCTGCTCCCAGTAGCCTGCAAGGGCACCTCTGTCTGCTGCTCCTGCCATCAATATTGAGGTTATCTTTTTCTTCTGGCAGCTGCTGTAATTGAAACAAAGCAGGCCGGGCCTCACGGGCTCGGCTCCTCTCGCTCATTTTGCTGGTGCTGCTGAGACAACTAATTCATCTTATCGATGCATGGTTGGCCTCTTTTCCACCAGATGCAGGCAGAGCAGTCTCCCTGCCATGGCTGGTAGGAGCAGACTGTGTTCCTGTGATGTGCTGCTGGGTGCTGCTCTTATCCAGCCTCTGGTCCTTGGCTCGCCTCAGCTGGGTACTGGCCACCAGCAGAAGATGCTAGAGGAGCCAGTCAGGGAAAGAGGTGCAGAGTGGAAGGATGCTGATTACTTTAATCTCTTTATTTTGCCTTCTGATGCATTATCAGCACTTGTATTAAATTCCACATCCTTTCCTTGCGCAGCTCCTAAAGGTGTCCCTGCCAAGGAGGTGACAGGGGATGAGTGGGGCGTACATGGATTTGCATTCCCTCACTGATGACCAGTGCTGCAATTAGCCATGGCAGAGAGAGGGATCCCATCTGGTGCTGGGTGTGTAGTCCACTTCAACAGCTACCATTTGGTTACCTCCTAGCAGACAAATTTCTGGCCCTGAAAGCTTGGGTGGGCATTTTGCCCTGGGTAGAGATATTGAGGTGTGGGAAAGAGCTGTCACATTGTTTGGATGAAGTCCTACATGATCAAGCAGGGGCAAGGCTATAGGGGAAACTGATCCTATTCCATATATTATTGTCCAAAGACCTGAAGGGTTTGGGGTGCCACGCTTGGGGCCCCTATGACAGGATTCACCCCTGAAAGATGCCAGAAACCTGGAGCTTTGCAAATCCTGTCAGGGTCTGTACTCCTGTGATGCTGAGGGAGAGCTTTGCTCTGGGTGGGGTGGAGAGGGGTTGTGGGGGAGGAAACAGGCTCTCTACATCACCAGTGTCTTGGAGAGTGATGGTGTAAGTAGAGTCAGAGAGCTCCAAGGAATCCTCACCTGTTGGGGGGCTGGCTCAGCTGGGGGGTCAAGGGCCAGAAACAAGGGCTGACTTCAGGTTCTAGCAGTCCTTGGTACCCCGTTATCTGTGGCTGTGCCACCACCTGGAGGAGGGTGCACCATGGTAGCCTGGTACCCATGGCTGTGCCACCACCCTGGAGGAGGACAGATGTCAGTTTCTTGTCACATGAAGCCTTGGCCCTGTGCTGCTCCTGCCGAGGGCCGGGCAGATCCTCTCGGGAAAGGAGGAACAGCCAGTCCTAATGTCAACAGAGGCCTCTTGTGCAGCGATGCTGTGTCAAGAAGAGGAATGGGTCCCTCCTCCTCCGCCCATTCATCTGGCAGCCGGGGCTGGCGTGCTGCCAAGCCAGGCTGCTTTGGAAACATTTCATTGAGGAGGCAGCTGAGCCTAGGAAAACAGAATGAAAATATACAGAGGGATCACTGTTGTTAGGCAAAATAAATGCAGGCGGCTGCATTTTTGTCCCCCAAGTCCAGCCCAGCCGGGCCCCTCTGGCTTCTCTGGGGTCAGGGTGGCTGCTGCTGCCTGGGGGTGGCAGCCATCCATCTCCATTGTGGGTTAGGAGCTGGGGAATGAGACCTGGAGAGGTCATCCGTGGCTTTGGCCAGCTTGCTGATGACCCTGGTGAAGAGGCCCAGATTCATTTTGGTGTAGCGTTGCCCAAGGAGATGGGACAGAGCAGAGAAACAGCAGCAGGGATGAGCCAGCAGCAGGGATGAGCCAGCAGCAGGGACTCGTGGTCCCTGCGTGGCCCCCAGTGCAGGGGGGTTGATGGAAATGATGCAGGGGCTGCAGAAGTGAGTCAGATTTTGCCCATGTTCATCCCCATGTCCCTCTTCAGCACCAACCATGGGACCAGGCTGGGCAGGAGGCCCCCAGCAGGACAGAGTCCAATCCCTGTGTTTTCAAGGCCCAGTTGCTTGGTACAGCCCATCTTCTGTCTGCTGGCAGAGGGAGAGCAGAGTCATCCCAAAGCAGCCCCCAGGGACAGAGGGTGAGGTGCCTCTCTGACTTTGGAGCAAAGCTGCATACAACAGGTTTGCCTCTCCTACCTGTAACCTCTCTCCTTCCTCCAAAGGCATTCAAGCCACTCCATGGCCATTTGATGACCTACAAGAGACTCACCCCAGTTCTTTCTCTCCCTCCTGGTGGGTCCAGAGTGATTTGGGGGAGGCAGAGCTGGAGCCCCAGCCCCATGGGATACTAAGGCTCTCACCCCTGCATAGCTTTCTGTGGCATCACCTCCTCTCTTTGCCCGCCCAGCACAGTCTGGTTCTGTTATTTACAGCTCAGATCAGGGGGTTGAAAGAGCCCAGTGTGAGCAGAAAAAGCCCAACCCACACTCTGGGAGAGACATCTCACCACGCCAGCTCATGCGTGGATTCTCAGGCAGGTGCCCAGGGCTGAGACTGGATCTTGCCCTGCTCCTTGTGTTTGTAGGAGCTTTGCTAAGACTCAGGCTCCCTCCTGCTCTCCTGCCAGGAAAGCAGACAGCAGGATAATACTTTTCTGCTGTGTGAGGGGTGATTTGCCGTGTGTCTCTCCACATGGCTCTCCTGGAAACAGGTTGACTGTGAGGCTGGCTTCCCAAATCCCGCTGCTGAGAGCAGCCTGGGATGATGGCAGATGTGACAGTGAAGGCCCTCACTGCAGCTGAAGAACCACAGCTTGGTAGAGCTGCCAAAATGTCTGACTCCAGTTTCCCATCCAGCTGGACCCTGTGATCCACTCGTGTTCCAAAGCCAGGGCAGACCCCATACTAAAGGCTAACAGAAGTGTTGTTTACCCCTTGCTTTGCCATCATTTATTCATACTCTTGCAGCCTGAAATAATTATCCCCCATTTAATTTAGCATCCCTAACTCAGGGGTAGGGACTTTAGTGGCTGAAAGAGGGAGGTGGTGGCTCAGGAGGGTTGTTTTCTGCTGAGCTCAGCCCTTAGACAGCCAGCCTGGCTGGGGTGGACATCTCTCCAGTGTGGGACTGAGTAACTTTCTGGAGCAGTCTGTGCTTTTAGGCTCTGTGCTGGAGAGGTGGCTGTTCCTCCTGGAAGCCAAGGGTCTTCGCCCAGTAGCTCCTCTGTGCTTAATTGCTGTCTGCACAGCAAATGCGTTTGCTGGAAGGGTGCTGAAATCTCTGTGGCAAGACAGAGGCTCAGCACATTGTCAGTCTTACAGGGGCTGGGGGAAAGCAGCCCTGGCAAGCCAGAGATGTAATGTCATGTGTGGGGGAAAGAGAACAACAGCTTCTGACAACCAGAAATCTCTGTCTGGGTACAAGGGGGTGTCTGGGTCTGCATCATCTCAGCCTGAGCAACCACAGGGACACACAGGCAAGTCAAGCTGTTCCTGGATTGACAAGAGGGCTAGAACAGCCATCCCACACCTGATCTTGGAATTCAGCCTGTGCTTGGAGAGGGGAGATGGTACTTTCAGTCCTTGCATTTCTCTTTTGAGTACACAGACAATTGCAGTCACACCTGAAGGAGGTCTTTGAGCTTGTCAGATCTGGAAAGTTTCATAAAATAACTGGCTGGCTAGCAAAAAGCCACTTTATTAGAGTCCCTGCTGGAAGAGGAGCACAGCAATAACTCAGCGCTAATGAATCAGTGGAGAATCCACAGGGGATTTGAACAGTTTGACAGCAAAAAGCTCCAACTCCAGTCTGTGCTTTGTTGGAGACCTTACTAGGCACTGGAAAATCTAAAAATGGTGCTAAACTCCATGGGCAACCAAATCAAGGTGTTCCTCCTCTTGGTTGCAAGGCCAAATATTTAATCAGACATTGCTCTGTGTCTCGTCCTGGACATTGGATCTATGAGGGTGCTGAGGAATAACTGTCCTGGCCAATAGATTCCTCTGCTCCCAAATGCATTAAGGCAGGGGAGCTGCAGCTACTCGCTGTGTCCTTTCCCTTCTGCCTCTGCTCTGAACAGCATCAGCAACATAGGAAAGGCAGAAGCAGCCACACTTCCAGTGAGTACTGTACAATGGAGGGTGTAGCAGGCAGTTTGGCTGCTGATAAACCTGTCTTTGTCTGCTTTGGAGCAGCAAATCCGCTGGATGGCTGGAGCAGGAGCTTGGTGTCTGCCTGCACTTTACTATCCTGTTCCTTTC